TATCATCGGTGAGCTTGCATATGTCAGTGAAACACCCCTTGCTCCGCTCATGTAGATAAAAATCAACTGCGGTCTTAGCCCAAAGGGTGTTATCCAAAATTGTGTCCGGTAGTTGTTCCCTCTCCTCTTCAGATACCGGTATGGTACTGGCCGGTAACTCATACGAGAGCCAACTCTCATCCATCATGTCCGGAACCGGTGGGGGTTTCTCAATACTTCGATATATTACCCCATGTGAATCGGGCTGGCTTTATTTCTCAAGGTCAATTGAGCCGAAAAAAAATTTCTACAAAAACAATAAACATACCAAGTTAGATATACCAAAAACTACACTGTGAAGATATACCAAAAACAATAAACATAAAAAGTAGTAGTTTATTCTTTAAACTAAAATTTGCAACACTGTTTTGTCTTTTGGTTGAAATGAAAATCGCAACGAGAGAATCGCAACGCGAGATGACAATCGCAACGAGAGAATCGCAACGCGAAATGAAAATCGCAACGAGAGAATCGCAACGCGAAATGAAAATCGCAATGCGATTTTGGTTTCGCGTTGCGATTCTCTCGTTGCGATTTCCATTTCGCGTTGCGATTCTCTCGTTGCGACAGTCATTCTCTCGTTGCGATTTTCATTTATCTCGTTGCGACTCTTCTGCAAATTGAAACTTGAATGGATTGCATTACTTCAACCAAAAGACAGAACAAAGACAAAGACAAATACTAACTTGAAAATCGCAACGAGAGAATAGCAACGCGAAATGAAAATCGCAACGACAGAATCGTAACGCGAAATGAAATCTAAGTGAAATGGTTAATCTATTATTGAAATGACCAGTAAACTTATCATCAGTTTCAATATGAAAAACCTACAATAATGCAAACATTTCAAAATAAAAATAATTAAAAAAACTAACCCTCGGAGGTTGATTTTCCATTTCTGAATATTGTGAGGGATTTCTGACCGTGAATGGTTGTGAGGGATTTCGCCGGAGATGGGGACGGAAATCTTCGGAGATGGGGACGGATTTCTTCGCCGTAGAGAGTGAGAGATGGAGATGGGACTGAGTTGTGATTTTAGGTTTTAGGTTATGAGTTGCGATTACGGGATTTTGTCTTAATATTCTTTTTGTAATTTGAAAATAAAATACGCGTAGCGATTATAATGGCGCTTTAAATATCGCGTTGCGATTTACGGATACGCGTTGCGATTTTATGTATTATCGTTGCGATTTACGGATACGCGTTGCGATATACGGATACGCATTGCGATTTACCCATACGCGTTGCGATTTACGGATACACGTTGCGATTTACGGATACGCGTTGCGATTTATGTGTTCGCGTTGCGATTTTCATATTCGCGTTGCGATTTTGGAAAATCGCAATGCGAATTTGTACTATCGCATCGCGATTTTCAAGAATCGCGTTGCGATTTTGGAAACTGATTTGCGATTCTGGAAACTGATTTGCGATTCTGGGGATCGCGTTGCGATTTTTATTTCGCGTTGCGATTTTGTTGGTCATTTTGGCAAATCCAAAAAAAGTTGGTTAAAATCGTATATTATAACTTTTTTTTGGTCACTGAGGCGATTTTCTCTAAAAATATAGAATCCGTGCCATAAAAATAACTTATTTAAAACTAATATATATAAATTATAATAGACGGTCGGCATCCAGCCTTACTGGAGTCTCCGCCTGTTAAAGAAGATGAAAAAGGGAACAAGCGAGGGACTTTAAAATTTTAGAGAGAGTTTGACCTAAGCGGCGATCCTTATTCATCAAAGTAATTAATTAATCCAAAATTAATTTAAATAAACCTATGTTATTGTTCTTTAATAATTGTTTTTAAATTGTATTTCAAGGAAACTATAGGTGAAATCTTTATTTGACTAGAAAAGGAAAAACGGATACATTATAATGCACGCAATTAGCATTTTGCTTAAATGTCGACACGTCATCGATGATTGGACAATAGATGTGGTAAAAGAAGTCAAAAGAGGTGTGATGCCAAATGCAGAGATTGGATGTTGCATCATCCTACTTTTGTTCTTTCAGACAAAACAAATTGGTGATATGATGTGAACACAGAGTATACTCCAATCAAATTAATCTATTCATTATGGATCTATAGCCTTCTCTTTGTCTTTACTTAGTATTAGGGGGTGAGCAAAACCTAGCTGGATTAATTTTTTTTAGTTGATTCAATTTAAAAAAAATTAATTTGATTTAATTTAACACATAATTTTATAAATTCTATTTGAATTAAAATTTATTTAAATTTGAATCAATTAAAAATAAATTCGAGTTGAGTTATAAAATAGAACTTGAATAATTTTATATGTGTATATTAAATATGAAGAAATATATATATATATATATATTAAATATGAAAAAATATATATGTATATTGTATACAATTATAGAAGATTGTTTTAAGTTGGAAACTTGAAATCAAATAGAATTATAATATTATAAAATATTTATAATTAACTTAAACAGAAACTCAAATAACTTTATTTGATTCGACTTAAATTTTATAAGTCCGACTCAAAAAATAAAATAAAATTTGAATTTTAAAATAAGACTTGCTAACTGAATAACTCAAATTTTTTTACTCATTCAATGAAATGCTCACCCAATTAGTATTATAGTACCGTAACAAAGCTGTGGGAGAATGAATAGCTCTCTAGCAAGATAATTTTGATGTGCGAAACTAATTTAAGACAGTTTCAATCTAAAATATTATCATATTCAATCTAAAAAGTTATATAAATTTAAAATATTTTCGATTGCAACTGAAAAGTTACATTGTGATGAAGTTTCAAGCTTACAATAAAAAATGTTATGAACAGTATAATATTTTCAATTGTAGTCGAAAAATATTATGAAAAACGTAACATTTTTTATTACAACTTGTTTAATTTAAAATTTTATTTTTACAACCTAAAAAAGTATGCTATTGATAAAATTTTTCGTTGCAATTAATTTTTACTATTTTTAAACTTTATCTTAACAAATTATATTTTAAATTTTCTTTCTCCATCAAAGTTCAAAATAGATGAGCATTGCAGGAAGCAGAACCCAAAGATCATCCATTTCAAGAGTGAGTTATTAGCATGTGAAATATTAAAAATAATTGTTTTAATTAAAATTTCAAAATCTACATTTATTAATTTAACCATATTTAATTATAATTTGTAAAATCAAAATCAATTAATTTAAACGATTAATGAATCCTTTATTTATTTGTTTGTTTGTTTTTCCATTATCTTTGTGTATCCAAGATATGGGTTAGATTACCCAAGCATCACAATAAATAAACAAATATTAAAATTATATCAATTTTTATTTAATTATCAAAATGACTCTTTCTAATATCATTTAGGATAATAGCATTTTAAATTAGTCTCGTTTATTTAAGGTACGATTGATTAAATATTTTTTATTCTAGGTGACCTGTCTAATCATTAATTAACAGAGGTTTAATTGGATTACATAATTGATGTAATAGATTAAAGGTGTCTTTTTTACAAGTTTATTTTTTTAATGATCGTGAAGGATAAAAAGAGAATACATAAAAGAGATTATACGAATTTTATCTAAAAAAGAAATAATTATGATATTTATTAAAAAAAATATTAGCACGAATACGAATATAGATCAACCAATAATAATAGCACACATATAAATACTTATTTTCAATCCATCAATAAATATATATTTAAAATATTCCTATATAAATATTTGAAAAAATTTAATATCTAAAAATAATAATTAATAATGATTATTATTTAAATATGATCATCATAATTTTTGTGCCAGTACGACGCTATCTTCACACAGAATCCATTGTTCGAGTACAACAACATTTCAGGGTGTATTTAGTTCACGGAATGTAATATTATCATTGAGAATAAAATATTATCAAGGAATAAGATTACTGAGAATGTTGTATTTTGTGTTTGGTTGGTTTAGCAGAAATATAAGATTACCTTGTTTTGTTAAAGAAATAAAAGATTATTGGAATGTATATTTGATCAAATTGTCCTTATTATATATTTATTTTTTTAACAAGTTGTAAAATATTTATATATTTTCTTTAAAAAAAATTAAATTTATATAATTTAAATATTTTTTTACAAAATTAAAAATATAAAAAAGTTTTAATGAAAGAATAAAATTTTATTTTAAATCCTGAGCTTCATATAAAATTTTAATTATATTTTTTTTTGTAAATCTAAAATATTTTAAGGATAAATTTGTAATTTAACCTTCGTAGAATTTTTATTATTCAATGACAGAATAAAGATATTTTAAAAGGAAATTTTTTTTAAGGGTATTTTAGTCCAAAACGTCGGTAATCCAATAATACCTAAGGAAAGAGAGGTAATGACATTCTCGGTAATATACCTCAAAAAATTCACTATTAGTAATGTAAGATTATCGGGAATGACATTCCTGACCAACCAAACGAAAAATATGAATTTCATTCTTATAAAAATCTCACATTCTTCGAATCAAACACACCCTCTGACTTTTTAGTAGGTCATATCTTTCACCGATAAATATAGAGTCATCGGCATATGATCAGGTACGAACATCGGTACACACTTTGATGTGCTATGTTTTCCCCTGATCGTTAATCAGCTAGTAAAGGGTCCCATCTAACCCCAAAACCATCGACAATTGAAGACCGTTCATTTCTCAAATCTGACCACTAAATGCTGGTCCACGCTGATAAAATCCTACGTGTCAGAAGCACTGAGTTTGTGGGGCCAAAACCAACGGTAATTCACCACGTGTCGGGAAAGGAATCCGGGTTGTTAAATTGTTATGAAGGGGTAGAGGAAAAGCTTTGTTATTTTTATTTTTATTTTTTTTACCTTTTTTTTCCAGGTTTTATTGTCTCTACATGTAATAAGCCGAGAACACCCCCCGGGGCCTGCTTCGTTGTCACGATCATCAAAAACCATAAAAGAAAATTAAAAAAAGAGAGTTCTTATTTCGTTTATAAGGGGAAAGAGAAGAGCGAGAGAAAGGGATCGAGAGGTATAATAATGGAGAATCAAGAGGAGGAGATGAAAGAAAAAGAGGTGGCGGAGGAAGAGGGAGTGGAGGAAGAGCAGGAAGATTGGGATGGTGTGACCAGCTTGACGCTTGAAAGGGTGGCTGCGGCTAAGCAGTTCATTGAAAGCCACTATAAATCCCATATGAAACATATCCAAGATCGCAAAGAAAGGTATAGTGAGAATCTTTTATGTATATAAATGCATTGCATGTTAATTATGTCTATATGATTCATTTGTGATTTGTTGATTGTTTTTGCACGGCATCGAGTCATTTTTTTTCTTTGGATGTTTCTTTCACGAAGATCTTGTTTTGGGCATTTTCAGTTGTGATTGTTTTTTGGTTGTGTTGTCTTTGATTTTCAAGCTGGAATGTATAACACGTTTAGTTTATATATATATATTGCATGGCATTGGTCCATTGAATTGAAAATCATTTTAAAAGTTATAAATTGGGTGCTAATCAAGGGAAATTTGTTTATAATGGCCTATTTGCTTAATTAATTAGTGTTTATAAAAGATTATAGGAACATCATGCTGATACAAAGTTATTGTAGGATTTGGATGGGAGTGGGAGATTTGCAATGAAATAAAGAGAAGTGAGTCTAGATCATTTAATAAACAGATTTTGAGTGTGTTTTTTTTTCATTTTTCTTGTCCTTTTATTTGCTCTATGTACATGGGAACAATTGTCTAGAGTTCCCAGAACATACACACATAAAAGTGTTTTCATGTGATGAATATATATGCTCATTTTCCAACCCGCTAGTGAATTTGTTGGTCAAGAAATAAATAGAAATTAAAAATTTTATTCGATGAAAATGACATATTCCGGTACAAGTCCATTGTTCTATGAACATCGCAGCTGGAAAAATGAGCTCCAAAAGAAGGAATGAAGCTGCCGACCAACAGAGGCCATGGAAGGTCCAGAATTTATATCCGCCAACCCCTTTTGTTTGAGTGCGTATTTTTATATGAAAACCGCGATGTTTGAGTTAGATATGTCACAGAAAGTGGCATTTTTTTTGCACACATTGTTTTTTCTTATTTTCTCTCTGTACGCAGAAAGAGTCTCATGCGTGGGTTGCAATTTTTTTTTTTTGATTTCCTTGTAACTACTCACGTATTTATCTTAGATGATTGTAGTTCTAAGGGAGACAGTTATTGAGAAAAGAATAACTGTAAGAGTTGTGACTTTGGTTTAACCTGGCAAAATTGCAGGCGTTTGATTTTGGAAAAGCAGTTGGCATCTTCAGATGTTCCACAAGAGGAGCAAATATTTTTGCTAAAGGAGTTGGAGCGCAAAGAATCAGATTATATGCGGCTTAAAAGGCACAAGATTTGTGTTGATGATTTTCATCTTTTAACCATTATTGGAAGAGGTGCTTTTGGAGAGGTTAGAACTACAAACAGTTTTCATAGTGCTCATAGAATATCCTTTCTGTCCTTTTCCCTCTTTTACTGCAAGAACCATCAAGCTGTGTAGAGACTAGCATGAAATTTGCAAAAGGATTGCAAGAAAAGCAAAAAAATTCTGTTAAAATGGAAGGAAAAATAATAATTACAGAGCCCGTGCCACTTGATATCAGACTTTTAAATGTTAAACAACTGACAGAAAGAAATAGCATTCATGAACTACTGTGTATGTAATGCTAGAGACAGTGATAGCTAAGATAGGTTATGGTAGAACTTTTGGTGTCTAATGTGAATTTAAACATGTTGCAACATTGCTAGCCTTGTGGTAGGATCACACTCATCTAGAAAAGCTGATTAAATATGTTCCAAATAAACTTACTTTGGATGCTTCGGTTCTGTTGTATTGGTTGAGACGTGACAATCCTTTTTCATAGACATTACTTGAAAATTCAAAGTTCCAGTTCTTTTATGCACGAAGTTATATAGATGGTACCTTGGTTTTTCATTAAAAGAACATATCCTCCAAATTAAAATTGATCAGGACTCTGTGTGCTATTATTGTATAACTTTTTTATAGGAGTTCAAATTTAGCTGCTAGACATTCCTGAGATAAAGATTCCTTTAACACAGTTTCTCTTGTCTTTGTTTGTTTATCTCAATCTTTTTAAATGTTCAACTGTTCTGTTACAATGTTGGAGGTTTTGTTCATATTTCGTTGTTATTTTACAGGTAAGATTGTGCCGAGAGAAAAAATCATGTGATATATTTGCCATGAAAAAGTTGAAGAAAGCAGAAATGCTTAGCAGAGGACAGGTGAGATCTGAAATCTTTGGTCATTTAAGCTCAATTTATTCATTCATGGCATGTTTTAAAAATTCCATCTCTGTTGTTCTTTCTACATGTTTTCATGATGCTGTAAAATCTCTCTCTCTCTCTCTCTATATATATATATCGTGTTGTTTTGCTACTTGTTTCATTTCTTTAGACTCACAGATTGTGCCTATAACCTAGGTTGAACATGTGAGAGCTGAGAGGAATTTGCTTGCAGAAGTTGCCAGTCACTTCATTGTGAAACTCTATTATTCTTTTCAAGATGCAGAGTATTTATATCTAATCATGGAGTATCTGCCTGGTGGTGACATGATGACTTTGCTGATTAGAGAAGACACTCTAACTGAGACAGTGGCTAGATTTTACATTGCTCAAAGTGTTCTTGCCATTGAATCTATTCATAAGCATAATTACATTCACAGGTTAGTAGCCTTTTGTTGGTTGCCAACAGAATATTGGGTAGTATAAATGTGGAATATTGTTAAGGCTGTGTAATTTCTAACATGCAACATCTGTTGTGAATTTTATCAATATCTGACAAACTTGTGTTTGTTTCTTTGTCCTTTCTCCAGAGACCTTAAACCTGATAATCTTCTGTTGGACAAAAATGGTCATTTGAAGCTCTCGGACTTTGGTCTTTGCAAGCCTCTAGACTGTAGAAATTTATCTTCTATAAATGAAAATGAAACTCTTGATGACGAGAATTTGAATGAATCAATGGATGTTGATTCTGGTAAAGGAAGGCGCTGGAAAAATCCCCTGGAACAATTGCAGCACTGGCAGCTTAACAGGAGGAACTTGGTACTATCATACTTTCTTTTTGTTAAGTTGCATGTTATCAGTCTGATGTGTGCATGCATGTAAACGGAAGCCTGTTTAGTGATCTCATTTCTGAGAATCACGTAATCTAAACTCAGAGATGGTAATATCATAGTGGATTAAAATAAATTGGTGGATTAATAACATGCTGGGTAATTAGGTTTAAACTCCTATGAATCGTTGAGTGAATCAGCAAGTGTATTTGCTGAAGTTGCATAAACCAAAGTTCTAGCCCCATTTATTTGATATCTTTTTAGATAATGAATGAATTGAACTGTAGGATTAAGCCTATCTTTTATTCCTTGCGTTTTTCTTCTGTTGCTAGTATGCCTTGTTAGAGGCTGCATCCTTTTAAGTGAATTTCTGGAGAGAATCAAGAAATACACAGAATTATTTATTCTGTCAATTATCCTTCGGTTGTTTTCTTCCTGTTTCAATGGCAGGCATTTTCAACAGTTGGAACTCCAGATTATATTGCCCCTGAAGTACTGCTGAAGAAAGGATATGGCATGGAGTGCGACTGGTATGACTTCAGTTGAATGATACTTCGTCATGAGACTTGTAAAATTTATGTCTGGTTTTTGTCATTTTGTCATTCTTCATCTGCTTTTTTTTTATGTTTTTAACTGAATGTGTGATTTAAATTTTTAACGCAAAATAGTTTGTTCCAAGAAAATTTGGTTGAGGGAATGCCGGTCTTATTCTTTTTTTAATTTCACCAAGGTCTGAAAATGCCTACGAAAAAAGATCATGTTTGCTAAAAAAGATAATTTTATATAAACAAAGATGAATATTCCTTTTAATTTGTCATTTTCAAGATATTTAGAATTTAGTGAGAAAAATGTTAGAGTGATCTAAAGTAAGCTGCATTTGGATATAAAAGTTCTCTCCGAAGACTTCCCTCCTGCAATAACTGAATAGACTTAACAGAGATCTTTTATGTAAATTGTGCTAAGCATTCTATATAATCATAATGGATAAGGTAATTGGGTTTTTTCTTTAATAAATTCTCATCAGTTAACCTGTTTCAGGTGGTCACTTGGTGCTATCATGTATGAAATGCTTGTTGGTTATCCTCCATTTTACTCTGATGATCCAGTGACGACATGCAGAAAGGTTTTATTTGCTTTAAAGTTTTGTTTTCAAACTTTACAGCAATTTTGAGTTGATCCACGGGGAATTAGCTTTTAACTTCAATTATCCTATTTAAATGTTCATGTTCCCTTCTTCATAACCCCATTACGTATCTCGTCTTCCTCATTGTCGTGCTTCTTTCTGTTCTTTTGGTAGTCTTAACAATAATTTAAGGTAAAGTTAGTATTCGACTAATTCAATTTGTTTTGTACAATTGTGTTGTGATGTTGAGTGTTATATTAAATTAGTTTGTTGTGTTAACCGTTTCATATGAACCTCTTATAAACAATTAAATACTTCCATTGAAATTTCCAGATTGTGCACTGGAAAAATCATTTGAAATTTCCAGAAGAAACAAGGCTGACACCCGAAGCAAAGGATTTGATTTGTAAATTGCTTTGTGATGCTGACCATAGGCTTGGTACCTTAGGAGCAGATCAAATTAAAGTAATTTCTGAGCATACCAAAATAGTTGTTTCCCTTTTTCCTTAACATTTTATTTTCGACATAATAACAATGAGTATATTAGGGCCATCCTTGGTTCAAAGATACTCAATGGGACAAACTCTATGAGATGGACGCAGCATTTAAACCACATGTTGAGGGAGAGCTTGATACTCAGAATTTTATGAAATTTGACGAGGTGAGTTATTATGATTCACATTCATGCTTTCTCTATATTTAACAATTTTTTATTGGGGACCACTGTTGAGAAATTCTGACTACATCACAGGTGGACATTCCAAGAACAGGATCTGGGCCATTAAGGAAGGTACCTATGAATTCAATTGGTGATACAGTTTGAACTTTGAATAACTTAACCATTGTTTTGCTGTGAATATTCTATATTTTAGTCCAAGATCTTAATTTTGAATTTTGAATAACTTACCATTATCTTTTCTTACCTTCTTGACAGACGTTTTTAGCTCCTAAAGATCTTAATTTTGTGGGCTATACATACAAGAATTTTGAGGCTGTTAAAGGGTTACGCCATTCTTTTGGTAAGAGATTCTTTGTTCCTTGAATGTTACCTCAACTGTCTCTTTCTTTCAAATCTTTGATTTCATAATTTGTAATTATGTTTATTAGAACTGTCTTCCTTTATTATGTTGATTTTTTTATCAAAACTTACAAGTCCATTGAAGCTTTGACCTACGTAGCTGGTTATAAACATTGGCATTCGAGGACACTGTTGTGTATTATTTCTTATTTTACATAACCTCCGTCGAATTATGGTTTTTGAGTCTTTCAGACAAGCCAGCACTTACACGCATGTTTTTTGAGTCACATTATGGTTTCCCTTCAGCTGTTAACCGGCTAATGCAAAACTCCTTCTGTGCTAGTATTGTTAGTCTTCATTGAAGTAAAATGCTCCTTCTGAATACTTCATTAATCTCAGCTGCAATTTTTTTTTAAAACGTAAGGGATGTTTCTGTGCTAATATTGTTAGTCTTGAAATAAAATGCTCCTTCTGAATACTTCATTAATCTCAGCTGCAAGTTTTATAACGTAAGGGATGTTTCTGCTGCAATGGACTAGATGAACCTTTCAAGGGCGACTCATTTTATTCATACCGCATACTGTTTGACTGTTAGATGATAGTCTTTTTAGCTTAGCAAGTCAAGCAGAGAATGCCACCATTCAATCGAATTGTGTTGTAGCATCTCAACTGCATATGCATGTGTTGTTTTAAATGCCATTCGAGTTTGTCTTGCTTCCAAACACGGAATTTTCTTAGCATTCATTCAACTGCTGCAGATATAAAGGAATTTGGACCAGAAAGGCAGTCATCAACCGACTCATTCCACAGTAAGATTCCTAGACTATCATATTTCAGGTCTGTATCCTGTTTACCTGATCGAGTTAAACTTTTCTCACGAATGGGTTTCCCTTTTAGGTGATTCTGGTGTGGACTACTCTGATACTGACAAGGAAACAAGGATGCTTTGACCATCAGAAGAGATGGCATGCATGTCACTTTGAGGAGTGGCTCGATCCTTTCCATGTATAGCACCATGCACAATGGATAAACAAGCTCTTGTTATTCTGATTGATGGGTCTGCCTGCTTATTTTCAGTCAGGTTACACCATGATCTGCTTATTTATTGAAGTTTGCTGCCACTTTTTTGCCGCACCAATAAGTGTACAGAAATTATTAGTTAGAGTTCTTTGACGGGGTTGGTTGGTAGTGCTATAAGCAAGAGTTTTATGTCCATTTAGTCTCGAGTTAAATTGTCTTAAATTCGAAGTCAAGGGCTGTAGACTCTGTGAGTCAAGATATTTGTTGGTGTTATTTTAAAGCATTGTTCTTTGGTAAAGGAATTGCAAATTCTAAACCTTTGTCATTGGGAGCTTTAGCTTGTCTTTAAACATAGCCAACCAACCTGAATTTTCATTCATTATAAAAGAGGAAAATTAGAGGGGGGAAAAACAAGGGAGCTTTGAAATTATGAATTGTACTATGTTCTCTAATGATTTAAAATCATTTATTTGTTTTTTAATGAATATTTATTCGCTCGTTTACTGTCGGATTTGTACATGATACATATTTTGGAGGAATATTGAAAATTTTAAAAATATATGGCTGTTTATGAAATTTAAAATTTACCTTGCAAATGTTGTAAAAAAAAGTTCAGTATAAAATAAGAACAAATGTTTTAGGGTAATTATCTTAATTCTACTGGGATGAAATATTAGATTCTTTAAGCAAGGTTAGAATTCAAAATCTTACGTTTGCGAATAAAGCAAACTGAGTTTGGAGGGTTGTCCTCATAATGGGCCTCTGCAAAACTTGATCTGAATTAATCGATCACTAGATCGAATACCAGTGATTAATTAAAAAAATGAAATAAAAATACGATAAATCCATAATTCCTGCCTTCTCTCCCAAATTCACTAATAAATTTACAAATTGTTCCCAATTCTCGTTGATTCTGTTTCTCTCATTCTTAAATAATAATCATCAATCATACAATTCGTCATAGATACTATGACCAACCAAATCAATGATTAATTATATAATTAAATAATTGATAATATTTATCAAAATTTATTGATTAACATATTGGAAGTCTAGTGGCCAGTCAGGCATTGGAAGTCCTTTGTGAAGCAGTACAAAGGGAAAGAGGAGTGAGAGAGACATAGAAGGGAAGGGGCATGGTAGAGGTTTTATCTAGAAAAGGAACCAATAAGATTGGTGGACCAGTATCCAATGTTAACGGGGAAACTAAGTCAAAAGTCATGCCTAAGCAGAAAACAACTCTACTTTCTGTTTCTGTAAATGGCCTTCTTGGCACGATGTCTGAGCAACCAAAAACATCAACTTTTATATCCAAGTCAAGTGAGATAACTGCCAATAATAATGCCAGAGAAAAAGAAGAGTTTAGCCTGGATGTATTGGATGACTTGCAACTACCAGGACAAAATCTGGGTTCATGGTTGAACATTGATGTTGACGGATTACAACTTGCAAACATAATCATATATTTGGTTTATGGGTCTTTATTTCACTTTGCCAACTGCAAGTACAGTTAAAAGTTGCTATATTAGATGTATTAATTTTCCTCTGGTTTATTCATGATTCAGTTTCTCTTCCAAGGCTAAGAGGTTCAGTCGAGATTTCAATAAAATAATTGATTGTGCTTCTTCAATCAGGAAAAATGATTTTGGTGACTGACTGGGACAGTTAGCTCATAACTTCCCTGCTTTACTACTTGAAGTTGCAGGTTTTCACTTTAACATCTCAGGAAATATGGTAAGATTTTTATCAACTTCAGACTAAAAGTCTCAAAGGTGGTGGCTTGTGGCATCAAATTTTAGCCTCCTTTTACTGTGTTTCTAGGTTATGCTCTAATTAGCTATTTGTAATTAATTTTGCATTTCATTCCTTCCCTCCCATCTCTCTCTGTCTCCAAGTAAAATGTCCAAATGTTTGCAGGTCAAATTGCTGTCTTGGATACGAGCACCTGAGGTTGTATTCTAGAAAGCCATCTGCAACATTCTGATAAACCTGGCATTACGGGGGAGGTAAATCCAGAATATCCATGTTCTTGTCTTGGCATGTACATTGTTGTTGAGAATTATTTTCCAACAGAATGCCATCCGCATTTCTTTTCTATTTTATTTCTTCTTTGAAAGGCAATGCGACTTCAAGGTCACTGTTGAAAGCTTAGCTGTAATGGCTCATATTTTGTACTGTTTATCACTGTAGTTCAATGCTTATGCTTGATATAGTATTGATCATTCTCAACTTGCTTTATAGAAAAAGCCCAAGCATCTTGCCTCATCCAGGTTGAGAATTAAGTTCCCTTATAATTTATTCTCTACAAGTGTAGACTTTGGGCTGAAAGTCTATGGGTCAATGTCAAGGCCTTCCCTTATGGAGATTTACATCAATGTGTAGTGGGAGAGCAGAGATGGATGATCCTCATCAGATGATGCTGAAAGTTGAGAGCACATCAATTGGAATGAATCAGTGTAAGCAACTTTACTTACTGCTCATTTGGAGGCTGTCAGGTATGCAGTGCATCATACTCTCCTGTTCTATTCGTCGTAGTTATCATCCTTTTATAATGCAAGTGATCCAAATTGGAATCTCATTGCTCACCCGGCACTTGTTTTTCTTTTCCAAGTTGGTGATTAAATAAATAATATTTCTTTGCTTAGGCTGCAAATTATTGCCAAGAAATGCGTTTTGCTTTTAGCCGAGGAGATAGAAATTGCAAAAGTATGTATTTAAGATGGAACAATGGAAGAAAGCATTCACCAATTGTTTGATCAAAGTTGATCCCGAGATTGGAGTGTATAAAGGCACTGATGGGAACAAACAATGAGACCGATCGTCATCCAAATTAATCACTTCATTTACCCAAATTTTCGTATTAAAATATAAATTGTGATCCAAATTCCGTTAGGCTCAGTTAAAAAATGCGACTCGAGACTTATTTTTGGCCAGTGACGGTTCATGAGATGTAATTAACGAGTCTGCCAACGAATCCCCGAATGGTGATAAATTGCCTGAAAAAAATGGGTGTGAGAGAATCAACTTGCTGCTTAAGCTGGCTGCTGGAGACTACGTCTCAAGGGTTGCTTTTGGCATAGAGGAAGCCAATACAATTATGACTGTTAGTGTGGTGAACCAAAAGACTGAAAATTTAAGATGAAAATCTGACAGTGACCTCTCAAAAGGAACGCTTGTAATTATAAAACTAATTCAATCCACCTGAACTTCAGTCCGCCCATAACACTTGCAATACGATTATCCGATTAGAATTAATGCGCCTAGAGCTCAAACAGACGGGCAAAGATTCACTTCCATCATCTATTTCATTACAATTTCTAATTCAGGAAGTTTATAAATTGTTCTTGATATATGACACGAATTTTTTTCTTTTTTGGAAAGGTGATATATGACACAACTACATTTTCAATTATGAAAACATTAACACAACAATAAAGGTGTACCTCACACTCCAAGTCCTCTGGCAAGACTTTATGATTTTTTGGACAATCATTATGCCTCAACTTTGGGCCTTGTTTCCACTACAGCTGCTCAAACAAGTTCTGCACTTGCAACAAAAACTACATATCCTTCATGCTTTTATGTCTTTGGCAAGACTGGTTACTTGCTCCATCTGCACTCTGCCAAAAAGGTGACACTGTTGGTTAGGCTTTATTGTTATGTTTTAGATATGAAGAAATGATATATTTTATCTCATCATGGTGAAAACAAGCTTCCTGAACAGATATATGACAATATATAACCAGTCCAACATCTAACCATGTGAATTTTAATTCCGAAGGCAGAAGTCCTGAATTGGTACAAAGCAACCCATATAGGAAAATTATGACCACACTCAAACATACACCTACCACACAAGTTCTAAAGATGCAAGTGGTGATCCTGCACTGTTGAAGTAAGACGAGAGGTCTACATCCAAGCCATCATACTTGTTCAAGAAAGGCATTCCCTGTATTCACATTGAAAATCATGAGTAAACAACCTTAACAGATATTCATTCGATTTTTTTTACTACTTGGAAAGATGCCACAGAGGAATCCAGATGTTTACATACCAGAAGCTCATGAGCCGACTTTCTTTCATTTGGGTCTTTTTTTACACTGTCATAGATAAAAGAACCCCAAGTTAGGCTTCGGTAAACTCATACAATCAAACAATTCTATAAAATCTAAGTGAAAGAGAAAAAAAAACAACTGCAGAGGCTATCTCTCCTGTATCAAAAGGAAACTACTAAATGAACTCTTTTGACATGATCAATTTGACGAAAACATTTAATTTAAATATAAAAACTCATTCTCATTATAGTGCAAATTCTATAACATCTTGTAGGCAAGTTTATCAAGTATCTCATTTAAAAAATGATCTTTACCATGCAGATATAAATGAGCGAAATTCAGGAGAAAATTGATCTGAAGGTGCAGAAGGTGGTGGTTGTTCAACAATTTGTTCCATGAGCTCATAAAAGTTAGTCCATCCTTCTGCCTGATTTGGTGGGGTGTATGGGAATTGACCAGTTGCACACTCGAGTAACATTAGCCCTAAACTCCAAATGTCACTTTTATAGCCATAATTATCACCAATAATTCTCTCAGGCTACAAAATAAGTAAATCAAAAACATTAAAAACTAATAAATTTTGAACAAATAAGAATAAAACAACCTTAGCCACCGAAAATAGTTTCTTTTGGTACAGGAAATTACTTACAGACATATAGTTGTATGTGCCAACAAAAGTGTTTGCCAGTCCTGAGGTGCTTGTCATTATTGCACTCACACCGAAGTCCGTAATCTTGACTTCTCCTCTATGATTTATTAACAAGTTAGATGGCTTTAAGTCTCGGTGGATAATGTGTCTTTCATGATGAAGATACAGCAAACCCTTTAGCACCTGTATTAATGAGAAGAATATAAAATGAATACGATAACATCTGGTACATACAATTTATTTATTCGGAGTGAAAATGTACCAACCTGCTTACATATTGCAGCAAGATAGGGTTCGGGAATGGATTTAACCTTTCTCAGAAAATCTGCTAGGGATCCACCATCCATATACTCCAAGATGATTGAAATGGCACCATTGTTATAGAATGACTGATACCAAACAACAACATATGGACACTGAGATGATTGATTTATTTTCAACTCCTTTGCAATCTGCTTGCGTGCTGACTCTTCGATATTCATTTGAATAATCTGAAGAAAGAAATCAGGTCAGGATTTGCTATACCATGAGAACAACAAGGAGATGCAAAACTTAACCATTTTCTTTTGAATGGTTATTTGGATAACTCCAATTCTTAAAAAGAAAACATTCTATTACTAATTCGCTATTCAAGAAAAAAAACCTATTAATAATTCATAGTGTAACCAACAAGAGAATCATCTCTTTAACAGGAAATGGATCATAATAAATTTGTCAAGCATGACTTAGGAAATATTATTGGTCATCATTTATCATGATAAAACCTAACAAGTATCAATAAGTTTACATGAATCAAGGCCTTCATTTGAATACACATACGGAAAATGAATAACTTCATCCTCATAATTCAGACATTTTAATTATAAAAACCAGAACAACCACTGAAGTTACATATTTTCTAGAGCTTCATCGAATTTAACATGAAATACAAGTTTCTATCATTCACACAATGTAATTTCATTACCCTACAAGAGATGTTGTAAAATCATCCAAATGTCATCGAAACTTGAAATGGTGAGATAACCCTTGCTTAACCAAGAAAAAAAATGACAGGACTGAAACTCTTTTGAAAAGAAATATGAGATTGTGAATAGAGAAAGTATTAAAAACACTTGGCTTTTGGATATTTACCTTCAATGCAAAAAATTGGCCAGTCCATTTGTGTTGGACCAATTGCACAATTCCACCATTACCCTTGCCAATAACTTTAATCGCGTCCATATCATCTAAATTCAATTGGTCGTCCGAGTCATTTTCTGATGGCTTAATAGGCGGAGGCTAAAACCGAGAGAGAGAGAGAGAGAGAGAAATTAAAATCTTTGAAACTTGAAAATCTAGCAAACAAGATCTTCTAAATTCGCTAATGGTAAACATCTGTCGAGTCAAAAGAATCTCAACAATTAAAAAATTAAAGAAGCAAGTTAATTAAAAAATAAGAATAAAAGATCTTACCGCTTCAGGTTCGGATTTAGATACAATTCGAACTCCATCCTTGTTAACGAGGAGATCGCCGTCTTTGAATGTACCGCTCTCGGTTCTGCCATGAAAAAAAAATATAACAGCAAAATCAAACTTCAAAAAACTTATAAGTAAAAAAAAAAAAGAGTTTGAATGAGTGGACGTAATAACTAATCACGCTTACAGAAATTTAGCGAAGGAGGTCTCAGCAGGAGGAGGAAGAGACAGCTTCAGATTAGGGCTTAAAATTCCCTTTCCCTTCATCATTTGCTTTGTTTTCTGAAATAAGAATTAATTAAGAGAGAAAAAAAAAGTAGTAGTTGACAGTGTTTCAATGGTTGGTGTAAATATATATAGGTAGAAACTGGAGGAGAGGAGAGAGCAGCAGACCAGTCTCCTCCACGACCACGAGGAAGATGGCATGACTTTACATTGACTTTTCTTTTAATAATTATCGACTCCTAACATTGTATTTTATTATTTAAAATCAAATAAATCATACTTTTCTTTTTAATTAATAGTGACGGTTAATTTTATTCGATAATAAAATACAATAAGATCATAAAAAATGAAATAAAGTAAATTAGATATTAATCAATTATCTCTTACAATTATTTTTTTATTAGTTCAAGATAATTATAGAATAATATTTATTTATAATTTTTTTAATTAAGTAACAATGAGTGCACATGTAAAACGTTATTATTTGAATTTAGAATATTTAAAAATAATAATATTTTTCAAAAATTAAAATTATTTGATAGATTTATAATTATCAAAATACATAAATTATAAAATAACACAATATAACCCTGTAAGAAAAGGTTAAAATATAAATAAACAACTCAGAAAATAAATGTGAAACGAAAACGTCTGCTTACATTGAAATGCCTCCACAAAGACAAAATACGTTAATGTCATTTCTTTAAGTAGCTTTCCAAATTTTTTTACTCACAAAATGAATAAAGTCAGATTCAAATTTTAAAATGCAAGAAATAGGTACATGGTTGGTGTAGCATAAAACTTGTATTAGCAAACAGTTCAGACTTCCAAGTCTAGAAGGAAATTTATTATTATCCAAAAATAATTTTATATATTTTAAAATTGCTTTTCACACTGACGAGGTGGACGGAAACACATTTGGTACTAAAATAAAACAAGTAGAAGAGAGCAGGGAAAGTTACCACATAATTATTACCGTCATTTTTACAGATTTTTAGATTAATCAAATCACACACCACCATTATAACGTGTGTGTGTTTGACCATTTTGTCAATCAAATTCTTCACTGTTTGCGCACATATTTTCCACAAACGTCAGATTGTTTGCCCGAAAACACAGAAATGCAAGCAGTCTACGTGACGAATTGTGTTAGAGTTTAATTTTTAAATTGACAACCAGCTACCAAATTGAAGTACTGGCAAGTTGTTCTTCCTTTTCAGCTGGCCGCGGAAAACAAAATTAAATATAAGGAGCTCTAATTTGGATGAAATGAATATCAGCGTTTTTATTTAAAAAAAACTCCCAATAATTAATTAAATAGACAAACAACTCCAAACAGCATTATTGAAAAATATATTTATAAACTGTCTACTTAAGATTACTTCTCGTGTTTTATAAAATAGGTTTAAAGACCTCGCTTTCTGCAGAACACGAAATCTATCAATTTTTCAAATAACTTCATTAATTTATGGATAAAGGTTACTATAAATGCATGGAACTCACGTTTCGTTTTTTTGGGAAACACAAAATTTGGAGGTTATTTTTCTAAAAAATGTTTTTTGAGGGTTACTTTTCAAAAAAAATTAATTATTGAGGGTTTTTAAAATAATAACGCCATGATTATCGGGGAAGTTTAAGCAACGACAACATAATTTAATATTAGAAAATGAAGGAAATAAGTATAACCGAAAATGTAATAAAAACAATAATATTTTATGTTTGATGTAACTTAAAATGTTATTTTTTCCTAATATTTTCGATTAAACCTAAAATGTTACATTCTTTATAATATTTTCAGTTGACAGTCGAAAATATTATTATAAAAATATAACATTCTATATTATGTCTAACTTAAAAGGTTATATTTTTTATAACATTTTCGATTCTGTTCATTTTCGCTGAATGTTAGCCTTTTAAGTACAAACTTCCCATGACTTTTAGCCTTTTAAGTGCATACTTCCCATGAATATTGGCTAAAAGTTAATTATATTTTTTTTGGTCTCTCTGGCGAAAGCGGTCATATTTATGTTGAAGGGTTAAGCAAATTTAATAGCTACGGTTTCTGGTTGCCGATAAATTGTTTTTTGTGGGGTAGTTGTCTACGAATTAGTAATATTTCGTGATGTCAGACAGTAGAGAAAAATTGTTAGGCATTACGAAATAACGTAGTTTTATATAGAATATGCACTAACTTCCAAGTGGTTGTAGCTGACACGAAACAGGATGAAGTTATTGCAATTTAATGCCAATTGTTTCTTTGATCGTACAATGAATCCACTTGAAACCTGCAAAACATCAAAATATAGTAATGGTACTGGGGACCATTTGGTTCTCGCTTTCACCCGTCTGTGGAACCCTTTGGGGTTGACTGCAATTTATGATCGTAGCGGAAGCCTAATTTTGGCCAGCACCTAAGGGATCTGTCGGACTAACCTTCTTGCCGACATGGGTGATTCATTTTTAGTTCACAGAATGATTACTTAAATCAAAATACAGTTGTGAGATTCTAAACGGTATCAGTAACGGATCTAGAAATTAAAAAATAGGGTCCAAAATTTTATTGTTCTATTCTAAAAATTTTGGGTATACAAATTTTCTTTTTTTTTCTTCTCTATTTCCATTAACAAATTAAAATGATTAAACATTTTTCTTGAAATAACGGCCCCTGATTCGTATTCCTTATGTTGCATAATAAGGTGGTTCCAATGATTAAAATACTAATTAATAATTTAGCACGTTAAGGTGGATAAAGAAAAATAACGAGGGGCTTAGCAACTGCTAAAAGACAGTACTTTCGTACAAGACACGGGCGTTCGACAGAAACATTAACTTACTCAGCATAACAAGACAGGCAGGACTTCTACCGACAAAAGATCCTGTTTTATCAACTGCTAAAATGGGGGGGGGGGAAACAAACATGTATTTCACGATTCGACAAATAAAGTCTAAAAATTGAAACATCCTCGAAAAGAAATACACAAACAAACATGATAAATTTAATATTGTTGAGCTCAATGTTAGTGTATCACGTCCTGTAAGAAAACTATTGTATAGTATATACTATATACAAGTGTGTCCGAAAATTTCATGAAAAATTACAAACTCAAGATTGAAAACTTACTCCAGCTAAAACACATATCCTCTCACTGTTCCTATTATTTAAACTGACACCCAAGGATTATGCTAAATAAGCAAATGTTCTAAATGTCAACAATGTTGATGGAGAATTTGGATAGCAACTGTGGCACTCCTGATATTATCGGTCCGTACGTCTACAAAGAAAAAACACATATAGATATGGTGAAATCTCATGCTATGAAGAAAAAAGTATGAAGCATAAACACGAGGATAGCACAATTGTATAACTTAGTGAATGCTCAAGCACCAATTCACAGTGTTAACTTCGTACCTTGTGACTTTCATGAACTTGGCGCAGTGGAACTGCAAGCAATTTCATGTTTTTGGGTACAATAAATTTTCGACTTTCGGGTAACCTCACAAGGAAGAGTTTGGTGCACTCCTACAAAATTTAGATTAACATGAGAACCGAGAAAGGTATGACATTGCTGCTGGATCAAGATTACTGTACCAACAAACCTTGGGTTTTTTTGCATTGGGAGGCAAGTAAGGATACATTAACGTTTCGAAATCATGCCGCCACCACATGCCAAGACATTTTCCCACCTACATGTTTAAGAAAGTGAGAATATTCACATCACACCATTTCACAATAATACGTGCAAATATAAACGGGGAAAACTGTTTTACCTCCCATTCACTTTCATAGCCATCTTCCGTGGCAGAAAGCTTCCTGGAAAGCTTCCGTTTCAGTCCATCGATATCTGGAAATTCAGCTCAATCTTAGTTCATTGACTTGAGTTTATAAGACAATTCCACAGAACTAGCAATTTACCTGATTCACCTGGCCTCAAACGACCACCAGGAAGCTTAAAGAACGAATTTCTAACTTGCAGCAGCAGCAGATGAGGATGCTTGAACAACTCAACCTGAAAGACAACATTGCTTAGAACATGTGTACAAAGGCATAACTAAATTAACACATTCAACCTAATTTCGCACGGCACACACAACGGTCTCCATGTGGAAAACAGTCAATCTGGCCTAAAGATGGTTGTGCTGCTAATTGACTAGCAGTTTGCCATGGACCGTAAGTCACCTTCAAATTGTTCTATTTAAGAAAAGCTACGCCTACGAATAGTACATATTTTCAACCTTGAAGGAACTAAATTCCCCAGGTTTAGACCAAATCTTCGGCAAGATCTCCAAACCTAGTCGATCATCAGTCATTCATATTAACAAGCACAGGGCAGAAACATAACTTCTTGTTATACCTAAAACAGAGTTATTCCTTCGCAAGTAAAGAATCTGCAACATCGTATTTAGTTAATTAAAACTTCAAAATAAGATAATAGAAAAAAAGAACCAACCAGAATAACAGCTTCTACACAAGTCCTCAATCCATAAGCCGCATACCTAGGGAGAAAAAGGTTAAAAGTGTTAAACCCCATAAGCATATAAAAAGAGCCCAATTGAAATTTACAAAGAGAGAGATCTGGTGAAGTACTTGGATTTCATCCTATTAATACGATCATACAGAGTTTCATCCTTGAAAACAATGGCTTCTTTGGATCCAAAATAGTAACAACTTAGAGGGTAAATATCCAGCCTTTTTCTATCATCATCGCTGCTACTATGACCGTTAACTGATTCTGCTTCTGCTTCGGCATCGGCTTCCATGTGAAGATCTCCCATCTAAAATTTTCGTAGTAAACTCAAGCGACGGACAAAAAGACGGCAAAAGAAAAACGAGGGTGTTCGATTTAAATCTAACGTGTCCTAAAAGCAGAGCACGTTCTTCTATTTCCGTCTGTTTAGTTGTGTTTGACGTGGCGTTCACAGACACGTGGTTTCACACAATACTAACGATTGTCTGTGGAGATTAGCGGCTATTCAGCGAAAGGCAACAGATCAGCATTCTGGAATGGGTGGACAATACATGGGAGAGAGACGCCTCTGGGCTTGGATACTTCCATTTACCTATTGGGATCTGGGCTTTAGCATCCAAGCATTAAACGAGTAACATCCTTCCTTTTAAAAAAATAAGTTAACAACAACGTTGGTCCAAAAAAAAAATTAACAACTCATCAAGTATTTGGCAAAGATTAAGACGTTAGATTTTTAAACATTCAATATGGACTTTAACCTTACCTACATCTCTAGTTTGTGTGCATGCCTTTTCAAACCTTTTATAATATATTTTATTCGTATAACTTGAGAAAAATATCAAACATAAACTCACCTTAAATTGACTATTGGCAGGCAATCAATCAATCAGGGTTTCAATCGAAGTCCACAAACTAATACATATACACATTTAACTTTGTAGATGGTATTACAATAATATAAAGTAAACCCTAAGCTCAAAATTACTTGAGTTGCAAGTTTTTTTTATTTTACTTTTGTGTGCGTTATCATATATATTTTTGAATTCATTGTATAAACGTAAATTATTAAACATAAATTAATAAATAAATATATATATATATATATATATATATAATATTTATACACAAATTAAATATATTATATCAACCTTAGTTAAATACGTAGTGATTGTATCATGTTCTTCTATCAATATAAGAATATTCGAGTTTAATTCATGAACAAATTCTAAAAAGTCAGAAGGAACTCTATTTATTCCACGCTTCTTCTGTTCTTAATAATCATTTTATTTTATGAAATGATGATCAATAGGCGACAAATACATTTATCCATGTTGTAAATAATTGTAAGAAACTGCTTTTTGAAACCTTTTTGAAATGGGGAACATGAAATATTCTATCCTCGGAAAATATCAATTTTTCCCAATTAAAAATAACAAAATATCCAAAAAATAAAATAAAATAATTGTTAGATGAAAAATCATTTTAAAAACTTACACCAATAACTCATTTCTACCATAAAATGGAGCTTTCATGGTCATACTATAATTATGTCCAGGTGTTTACATTATATAACTTGCCATAATAATACTTGTTTTATTCATTATAATGGATTAGTATTATGAACAACAGATTTATAATTACGATAATACAACCAAAAATATACAAAATAAATACGTATGAATTTTGACGAACTAAATTAAACGTGAGAGAAAACAACAGGTTGTCTACCGAGCTGAAATGCTTAGCTGTTGGGGAGACTTGGAGGACACTTCGCGGTCTCTGCCTGTCCATTCCTGATTTCCTTCCTTCTTTCTTTTTCTTTTTAAATTTATTTACGTGATAATAATAATAATAAGCTTTATCTCACACGTTAGACGATTTTCCCGAAAAATTATTTTTTTAAATCATTACGTGTCAGATATGTTAGAGAAAATATTATGGATCTAAAATTTTTTGCAGGTAAAGATAGGGTGTTAATTTCATAAATTTTTTTAAAATTGTGCCTCATATGTAATTAATTTCTGTTAGGATGATTTTTGTGTACAAATATCAATTTTTTTTATTTATTTTTTGTGTGTGCACACAATATATATTTTATGCATTAAAATCTTTAAATATTCTTTTGTAAATTATTTTATAACTCGGAAAATTTTAATTTTTGCATGAAATTACACAATATGTATAATTTAGTATAGAAAAATTTTGAGGGTAAGTAATTTAAAATATGAATAATTTTATAAAAGTTTTATAACTAGTATTTCTTTTACAAAATGATGATGATGATAAGAAATATTTGATAATTTAAAAAAAATTAAATTTCATATATTTTTGAAAAATCTATTGACTTTAAAATTAATTTTTTAAAAATATAAAAATATTAAAATAAACTTTTAATTACAATTGAGAGATCAAATGAATTATTATTCTTTAATTATTATTTTTAACAACAGCTAATAAAGTTTATTCATTTTTAATAAAATTAGAATTTAATATTTATTTTATATTGAAAAAAATTAATATTAGAAATAATATTTTAAATATATAGGTGATATTTTTTAACTTTACATTCTTTTTTTATTAAATTTTGTTACAAGTTTAGAGAGTAACACAAAAGAAAATAAAATCTTTAGATTTTCATGTATGTATTTATACTTTCTTTTATAAACATTTTACCATAATTTTTCTTAATTAATTAGAATAATAACAATAATAAATGATTAATTTGAATTATAACTCATATATTTAAAATCCGATAAAATACAATAAAAAAAGAATTAAAAGTGAATAAAATTCAATAAAAAAGAAGAAGGTAAAGCTAAAAAATATCACTTATATATTTAAAATATTCTTTCTAATATTAATTTTAAAAAATAAATATTAAATATTAAATTTTAATTTTATTAAAAATGAATAAACATTATTAGTTGTTGTTAAAAAATAATAATTTATTTGATCCCTCAATTATAATTAAAAGTTTATTTTAATATTTTTTTATATTTTTAAACAATTAATTTTAAAAATTAATAAATTTTAAAAATATATGAAATTTATAATTTTTAAAATTATAAAATTTTTCTTATCATCATCATCATCATTTTTTAAAAGAAATAATATTTATAAAATTATTCATATTTTAAATTACTTACCCTCAAAGTTTTCATATATTAGATTATATGTATTATATAATTTAATGTAAATAATCAAAATTTATCGAATTATAAAATAATTTAAAAAAGAAGATTTAAAGATTTTAATGTAGAAAGTTTTTTTTTTGCACACACAAAAAATAAATAAAAGAATTGACGTTTTTACATAAAAATCACCCTAACAAGAATTAATTATATATTAGACATCATTTTAGAAAATTTACGAAACTAGCACCTGATCTTTACACTTGGAGTAAGAGGCGGTGCATGGGTCACGCCTTTCAACACGTGACGTCATATTAACGTAAGACATGGTACATATGTCGTGCTTTTATGCCAAGAGTGTTAAATCTATAATATTTTCTTTAACGGTATTTGATACGTTATATATTTGACTAAAAGAATAAAATTTATATATTTGACTAAATTGTTCTTATTATATATTGGAATAAAATCTATAATATTAAGACGCGGTATTTGATATGCCAAGATTACCGTGTTTGGTTAAAAGAATAAAAGATTATTGGAATATATATTTGACTAAATTGTTCTTATTATATATTTGTTTTTTTAACAAGTTATAAAATATTTATATATTTTCTTTAAAAAAATTAAATTCATAAAATGTGTATATTTTTTTTACAAAATTGAAAATATAAAAAGGTTTAATGAAATGGTAAAATTTTATTTTAATCCCTGAACTTATATAAAATTTTAATTATAGATTTTTTTTGTAAATCTAAAATAGTTTAAGGATAAATTTATAATTTAACCTTCGTAGAATTTTTATTATTCAACGAAAGAAGAATGATATTTTTGAAGAAAAAAAATTAAGGGTATTTTAGTCCAAAACGCCGGCAATCAAACAATACCTAAGGAAAGAGAGGTAATGACATTCCCGATAATATATCCAAAAAATCCACTATTGGTTATTATTATTTTAATATTAACTCATAATAAATCTATTGTGTTTTAACTTAAATGAATTTATAAATGTTTTATAACATAATACTGTTCAAATTCAATTTCGTTTACTGAAACTAATCGTCTTCATATTTGAGATTACACTTTAAATTCAAATGTTATTAATTTAAACTGGAAAAGGCAAAGAAGAAGATGACGATAATAGTTTCTAATTGTGTAGTAAAAAGTTGTTTTGTCTCTTCCTTGATTTTGTAACATTCTGATAATCTTTACGGAATATGAGTTAAAAAAAAAAAGCATCGGTGGAATCCATTAAAACTTACATAATTTCCACTAGATAATATAATGGCCAAAACTTATAATAATAATTAACGGAACTTTACACGGTAATTAAAAAGAACTTCTGTCTCGTTAATTAAGGTGAACGGTGCTGTTTAAGGTCTCTCGTTGGGAAAACTTAATTGGATCTAAAAGATAGTGTGTCACAACAGTGAAAGTTCAAAAAATAATGAATAAATTTATACTCTATTTTTTTAATGAAGTAAGCCGTAATGTAAAGATAAAAATTACTAATTACACACGTTCTATAATTTGAATTTGAATTTGAATTTTTTTTCAATATAAGTAATTTTGTAATTATATTAGTTTCCTTTTTATTTTTAGCTAAAGTGGCAAGCAAAGCAAAGGCATTGTGTGCGAGTTATGCTGCTGTAAAAGAGTGTGATTTCAATCATTGCAACCACGCTCCCATAATTAAGAAAAGAAACTCAAAATATATATTTTTAATAAAGATATGATTGACTTATGAAATATAAAATACTTTTAATATTAAATTTTTTCATGATAATATTATACTATTCAATTTATTTAATAAAAAATTATATTGATTAATAAAATATAAAATTATTTTAAAATAAATTTTACGAACTTGTCTAAATTTAAAATATCAATATGAAATTTTATAGAATTATTTTTGTCTAAATTTTACAACATATATATTTCACATATGAGTTAGGATTGAGTTACACAATAAATTTTTTTTATTTTATATTCATTTAGGATCTTTGAATGATTACAAATAGATGGTTGAAATTAAGTCATTTATTTTCAGTGAACATCTTTTCATTTCTTAATGTTAATCGCAACCGTATAGTTTTATTCATCCAATAATCTTAAATCAATGTACAATATTTTAGTTTTATATTGTATAATTGTATCTCACCTCTTAATAAAGATACTTTAAATATTAAACTATCTTTTGAATTAGTCAATGCCTTACTGATATCTGATCAATTGACAGAGTAATCCAAATCAAGTTTTACAGAATCTCATTATAAGAGCGACCCTCCCAACCTAATTTGTTTCATTTGCAAACGCTAGGGTTCAGACAACTAACTTTATTTAAAGAATCTAATATCTCGTCCCACTAGTCAATTTTTATTTATTTGTCATCAGGATTTTGCTTAACTTGTAAAATCTCCCTGCACAAGTCGGGGGCTTTTTGGAAGGACCTCTTTCCAAACCAGATATCTGAATTTCGACAAAAACAAAAACAGTTATCGTTATTCCAAATATACATTGTTCTAAATTGATAAATATCAATATAAGATAATTAATTTAGTTAGAGTATAAGATAATATTTTTAAGAATATTTTATTATATAATTTATTTCTAAATTCAAACAGTTTTTTATTATAAATAATATTTAATAGTCGACAATAATTAAGAGTATTTGAGACAAAACATAATTAGCAATTAAGATCAAATGGTTATGGATTGAAAATGGTGTGTTGAGATTTTAATTGATTAAGTTGGCGTATGTTTGAGAATATACTTTGGTGTTTTTCTGTCGGGTAGCCATGAATGTAATTGTGTGCTGAAAAGTGTTTAGGTTAGAAATGACCAAATCATTCAATAATTAAGAGTGGAAATGTCCCAATAAATTATTTTGGCTATCCCTCGAAATTGCAACCGCATTTACAAATGTTATAATCATAGCCATTTATTTATTTATTATAATATTTTTACATGTTTATAATATCTTATATATGTAATTATTTATATGATTTAATTTTACGTATTTGTGTTTTAGCTTAATTACTTGTTAATATATTATAAAAAATATTATTAAATATTTATCTTAACGTAAAATGAAATAATTTCCTTTATTTATTTTGGTTATCACTAACTGAGATATTTTTAAAAAATTAGATTGTTATTTCAAAATTATAAAATTTAATACCATAAAATTATTTAGATATAAATATATTATGTAGATTTCTATTAATAATATGGATTTAACAGCATTCATAAATGGTGATATATTCAGCCAGAAAATAAGAAAAAAAGTGGCAACGTTTTAATAATTTGTGACACATTAATAAAAAATACTTATTATAGTAACAATTATTTCCGACAATTTTTTAATATTATTAAATACGTAAATAGTTGTAATTAATCAGCCAAATTTCTCTCCCCTCTAAATTCTAACACAGTTTATAAAGCCTTTTACCTCAGAAACTCGAGAGAACAAGAAATTCAACGAGAATTACGAAAACCGGCCCTTTTTCAATGGAATTAACCGGTGACCCTCCTCCGTTATGGCCACAACTGGCTACCTCCGCTTCTCGCCGAAGGCCACCGTCTCCTATTTTCAGCCTTCCAGTCCTCATCGTTCTCTTACCCATTCTCGCATTGCTTCTCTTGTTCTTGGTAGTCCCTCCTTTTCTCTCCGTCACCGCTCAGATTCTTAGACCCTTCGGTGTCAGAAAAAGCTGGGACTCCCTCAACGTTTTCCTGGTATTGTTTGCTATTATTTGCGGCGTTTTGGCGCGAAGATACGAAGACGACGAGTCCAACAACGGCAACGGCATTAGAAATGATAGTATTAATGATAATAGTAAGGCAAGCGGCCTTCATGTTCATGTTTCTCAACAATGGTTTGAAAATCCGGAAAGGAAGACATACGATGGTGGTGCTCCGATCAACATGAAGCCGTCTCAGGCAACCGGTGTTAGGAGGTTAAAGAGAAGCAGTAGCTCGTACCCAGATCTGCGACAGGATTCCTTGTGGGAGAATAATGAAGATCGGTTTCGGTTCTTTGATGATTTTGAAATAAACAAATATCGAACTTCAACGAGCTATGATGATCAAGTTCACGACCTTCGTAGGAGTTGGAGTGGATTTGAAGAATCAGAAGACAAGGTTATTCCTGTTGATACCTTTGTGCTTCGTTCTTCTCCTTCATCGCCTCCGTCGAAGTCTCCACCACTTTCAACGCCGCCTCCTCTCCGCCACCTCCCCGACGACCACCATCGCCGCTAGTTCAAGCGGGAAATAGATCAGAGCATAAGTATGGGAAATTGGAACGTAGAAAAAGTACTGGAACCAAAGAAATAAAGATGGTTTTCGCTTCTTTACGGAAGAGAAAGAGGAAACACAAGTCAAAAGACCACGAACATCAGCAAGATTTACCTTTGCATTCTTCAACCGAGCCACCGCCCTATTATTCTACCAGCATACGACCAACGTCGCCGGCACCTCCTCCACCACCGCCGCCTCCTCCACCACCCTCTTTCTTTCAAAAATACAATCTCTTCAGAAAGGGCAGCAAAAGCAAAAAAATACATTCTGTTCCTACGCCCCCGCCTCCACCGCCAACAGCAGCATTTTCGTTTTCAAAACGATCATCTAAGCAAAACAGCCAGATCCCGCCACCACCAACACCGCCAACTGAACCTTCAAGCAAACGAACTACGGCTAACAACGGCAAATCCCCATTGCCTACAAAAGCAAATACTATTAGTTATTATGACGAAAACGTGAACAGCGGCGGACAGTCACCGTTAATTCCGGTGCCCCCACCTCCACCACCATTTAAGATGGCAGATTTGAAGTTCGTGATTCGTGGGGATTTTGTTAAGATACGAAGCAGTCCTAGCTCACGGTGTAGCTCTCCCGACTTGGAAGAAATTGATGTTTCTTCAAGCAAAGATGAAACGGAAACAACCAGCATGACGGAGGGTGATGATGTGGTTGGAGTTGCAGGCGTCCCAGTGTGTTGTCCCAGTCCCGATGTTAACGCTAAAGCTGAGACCTTCATTGCCAGACTCCGGGGCGGATGGAAATTGGAGAAGATAAACTCCATTAAAGAGAAGTAAAGGATATAAGCGGAGATCCAACAAAGACAAAGTTGAAGAACAAGTTCTGATTTCAATTCACAATTTACTGGTTGAATTTGGTTTCTCCTTATAAACAAGATTAATCAACACATTACAACAGGGATATATATATATATATATTTCAGTTATCATTGTCATGGTTTTAGTAGATACAAAACTAGGAATAGAAAGACGGCCTCATGAGAGTTAATTTTTAGTTCACTGTCATGAAGATTCAATCCTTAAGTTTGAGTTTTCACAGTATCTGATGATTTGAAGAGTATTATCCTGGATGCCACTCTGACTGTGTTCCTTTTTTTTTTGGCCCGTCGAAGCTCAAGGTGGAGGAGTTTGAGTTTCTTTTGGTAGAATGCTAGGAATCAATTGATTTGATCTGTATTGACATTAATGGAGTTGCTGATTGTATGTTTTTTTCGTTATATATACGATAAACTATAGCATTTTTATTACATCTTAATTACGTGCTCCCGTAAACGTGGACGAATTTATTGGTTTGGAGGCAAACGAGAAAGTATTGAATTAAATTCACAGAATGTATTCGTCACCGGAATTAAATATGAAGCCGGGCTAAGGCTACACATATATGGCGGTAATTGTTGGGTATATTTATTGAGGGACTTGAATTTAAAGTGAAAGATCATTACCTGCACCAGCAAGCTCTCCTTTAATTATATATATAAGAAATGTTTATTTTTTGGGTGCCATTGCTTCAAATCAAACGAAAACTTTAGCACATGGCTTTCAACTTGCCCTTTGTTATAATGCATTTGGTATTAATTAATTAACAGATTGTTTCTAATAGAAATACCTATTCGTTTTGTTTCATGAGGACAAAATCTTGTAATAAAATTACTTCACTTAAAAGAGTAATGCTCTATTTGGATATTACAACCATGCATAGAAAAATGACAAAATTGGTTGAATTCAGCAGCAAGAGGCATGTCGGGGGCCATACCATGATTGACAATTCGAATTGATTGAAGGTCTCACCCAACTTACTTTTTCTCCTGTATTTTAATTTTTCTAATCTATATGCTTTTTCATAAATCATGACTTCCTATCCGATCAATAACCAAGAATCAACTGATCATGTCGATATACCAATCCATGAAATTTGGACCACCAACTTTAGTCATGAGATTTAAATATAACTTCACACAAAGAAACTAATTAATGTTAAAAATGAGCCAATTGATTACTTACTAATTAACTAGTCAGTTAAATGTTGGCTAAAACCTCATTGCATTAAATGTCCGATAGCCTAGAGTCAGGACTCCAAGTCCAATGAGACTTTATGCAACTAATATCTGCCAAGAAAAAAACTCACCGTGAAGTGGTAAGATACTTAACAATGGTTGCGTGATTTATCGACAGGAAACATTCAGCTCAAATTAGGGTTAAGTATCCACAAATGTTAAAAAGCTATAATCTGGGTCATTTCAGATCATTCTAGGTGGGTGTAAGGTTAAGGGATTTGAAGATGGAAGCTATAGAGTCACATAGACCAACTCCGGGTAGTGGCATTTCGACCTGGTGCAGGGTCATTTGTAAGCAGAAGACGGGAGCTCTTCTTGGTTCCACGGCAAAAGCTCATCGCACCTCAAATATGCAACCATTGTTTCAAGAGTCAATAAAGAAGCATCTAAGATCTAAATTGAAATAACTTCCATGGATATTGATATGCCTCTTGGCAGCTCCGGTTAACTATTAGGTGGCGTTTGGTTCGCTGGAATGTTTATGAGAGAATTGAAATTTGTGAAAGAATTAGAATCTGTCAGGAATTAGAATCCAATTTCATATTCTGTTTGGTTGGCAGGAAATTGAATTGAAATACAATTTCATATTCTTTTTGGTTCGGAGACATGTCATATGAATACAATTTCAGTAATGTAGAATGGATGAAATTCAATTTCCCTCATTTAATGGAAAGTTGAAGCCATGAGAGATTCCAATTCACTTGAAAAACTTGAATCAAACATGAGAAAGTGGTGAAATTAGATTCCAATTCCCCCTAATTCCAAGGGATTCATGCCAACCAAACGTCACCTTATAGGATTAGCAACTTCAGAACAGAGAAATATTTAAGATGCAATATGAAAACCTTTCTACGTGTTGAGAAAAGAAGAGTGAAGCACAAACAACTGCATGACCAAGACCACAAAAGCACAACTAGTTCCAAACTTCATAAACAAATTTATTGACAACTTTGCTTATACAATAAACAATTAAACATATAGAATAAATACTTGAAATCCATAACTCCACTTACATACATACTTCATGGCATGAATGCAGACTTATGGTATCTTCATAGGCATATTCTTGAGGCACAATCATCTATCTAGCTCAAAGATCTGATTGCCCAAAGCCACATATAGAAACCTTTTATTGAACAATTTAATTAAACAATTATAAGTCTGTAACATAATCCAGATCTACATAGAAAAACATTATGCTTCTGACTCAAGGAAGTTTAGATTACTAATGTGGCTGACAGATCATTTGTAAACTAGGTACGGCAACTTCATCAAAACTTCTTATAACACGAAAAAACCCAATTAAACCAACCATAAATCTCAGAGAGTACAATCTGCTAAACTTACAAAAAGCAGCACCTAGAGCTTTGGAACATTATGCTTCTGACTCAAGGAAGTTTAGATTACTAATGTGGCTGACAGATCATTTGTAAACTAGGTACGGCAACTTCATCAAAACTTCTTATAACACGAAAAAACCCAAATAAACCAACCATAAATCTCAGAGAGTACAATCTGCTAAACTTACAAAAAGCAGCACCTAGAGCTTTGGAGCTTTATCTCCCAAATACTTCATCAGCACATCCATGACAGAACCGAAATCTGCCTTCACTTGCATGGGCGGATTAGCAAACCTGCAAGCCATATCTGGAATCTCCTTGGAGTGATAATCAACCTTAGACTGTGTAAACTTCAATCCATGAGCTGTACTAACCACAACAGTCCTGTCCCCGGCTCCAATAATCCCACTATTCCTAAGCTTCATTAAAGCAGTCAATGCAACTCCAGTATGAGGGCAAATAAACATCCCAGTAGAATCGGCCTGCGCCATTGCATCCATTAACTCCTCCTCAGTCGCTTCCTCAACAATCCCATTTGAATTTTTCAAAGCATACACGGCTCTATCTATAGAAACAGGATCACCGATTTGAATAGCCGAGGCAAAAGTAGTATTTGCCTTGACTGCCTTAAACTCAGTCCACCCTGATTTATAATACAAATAAAGTGGATTGGCATTGGCCGCTTGCGCACAAACCAATCTAGGTATCCTATCAACAAGCCCTAGTTCTTGACACATTTTGAACCCTTTGAAAAAAGCATAAATATTACCCAAATTACCACCAGGAACAATAACCCAATCGGGAACTTCCCAATTAAACTGCTGTAAAATCTCAATCGCAGCCGTTTTCTGCCCTTCGAGTCTTAAACTGTTCAGTGAATTGGCAAGGTAAATTGGTAGCTCGGATGTAACTTCCCGGATTAACTTCATGCAACCGTCAAAATCAGTGTCGATGCTCAAAACGAACGCGCCATTTGCAATGGGTTGAACTAGTTGGGCAATGGAGATTTTATTCGCGGGTAAAAAGACAATGGAAGGAATGCCAGCAGCAGCGCAATAAGCGGATAAGGCAGCTGATGTGTCACCCGTAGAAGCACAGCCGACTCCGACGACTGGTCGTTTCAGTTTTCGCAGTCGATTAACTTGACTGACCAGAACGGTCATTCCCAGATCCTTGAAACTGCCGGTGTGGCTGATTCCACAGTGTTTAACCCACAAATCGTTCATTCCCAGAAACTGTTTGCCGAACCGTTCCGCCCAAAACAAATTGGAGTTCCCTTCGAAAGCCGAAACGATGTCATCCGGGTCAATCTCGGGTAAAACCCATTCCTTTTTGGACCAAACTCCAGACCCGTACGGCCACGTGGTTTTCCCTACTCGCGAATCGAATAAATCCCTCCAATATGCACCGTCGAACTTTTTCAAAGCCTCCATATCGTGTTGAACGTCGAGCAGTCCACCCGAACAGCTCCGGTAAACGATCTCGTCGAGAGAGTAGGACTCAGTGGAGTCGGGTCCGGCGTTGAACGGAACATATTTGGCGGAGAGGGTGTTCTTAGCGGTGGAGCGGTGGCGACGAGCCTCGTCGCGGATGTTCTCATCGGCATGGCGTCGGTCCTTTTGGGGTGAAGGGGAGTTGTTGTTGGAAGAACTAGTGGTGGAAGAAGAATCGAATGCGGAAGAGGAGGAACATGAGATAAAAGTAGGGGCGGGACGATTAAATCTGCGGTGGTTCCGACGGTGCAACGACGGGAAGTTAGATTTGGAGGCGAGAGAAGAGTGGAACAACGAACAAGAATAAGCCATGTTTGAGAATGGAGGCGGCGGATGGTGACGTGATACAATGATGGGAAATAAGGAGCGCAAAATGGAGAGTGAGACGGGTTGTTTTGTTGGGCCCTCAAGGGCTCATGCCATACATCTCCATAGACCTTTCTAGCCATTCGATTTTAAAGCTTCTTAATCTTTATATCAATTTCTGATTTTATCTTTTTCTTAAAATAATGTTGATAAAAATAATATTTAAATTAGAATAATTTTATTTACATTTTAAAATATAAATTATAAGATAATTATTTTTTTATGAGAAATTATTTTATCTGTGCTTGTTTCAGCTTGTCATTATTTCTAGACTTTCTTTGCATGGCTAAAACTTTCATATACTTGCAGGCTGCTCCTGTTAATATTATTGTATGGGTTGAAGACCGGCGCTTGCATGAATTCATGCAGATTTTTTAAAATTTAGCGGCGAACAAGTTCACGCCCACACGACAAAAGCAAAATGTGTGAGTTTATTTTATCTTTTTGTATGTATAGTAAGGTGATCATATACATTTGTTTGAGCTCTTAACAATTTGTGATTATTATTTCAATCATACAACATGGTTTTCAAGTTCTAAATGAAGACAAGGCCATATATCAAGCAATTTTTAGGTTAGCAGTTGGTCAGTAGAATCTGTTCGTATGTAGTTTGAAAATGTGCATCCAGAGCGAACTTTGATGTTTAGACCTACTGGACTCTTGCAATTCATTTGTTCAGCAACCCGACCATTGCAGCATGTAATGGGCTCAACCATTGCCTTCAACTTTGTAAGCCAATGGCTGGGCTATCATCGGGATTAGGCTGGTAGGTAGGCCGTGATTCAACCATTTATATTCTCAGCCACCATATATCGTTTGAACTATCAAATTCAAATAGACCTACATTGCATGTGGATTGGATTTTGTATTTGATTTGATTTACCTTTATTTACAACACATATATAAAATTTTGAATAATATAAGGTTTTTTCAAATCCAACAGATAGATACTCGAATATATTTTTTATTACAGTTTTAGATGTATGAATAACTCGAATATATTAGGAGATAAATAAAGATTTAAAATTGCCTTCAAATGTGTAACGTGAAGTTTCATTTTTTAAAGAAAAGCTTTGAAATTATCTTAAAGGAAAGGTTTAATACACATTTTGTCCTCTAACATTTATCTATTTTCTCAAATTAATATTAAATACTTTTTTATTAATTGTACTCCCTCAAATCTTAAAAAATAACGTTTATTAAAAAAATATCAATTAAAGTGTGTTACGTAATACATATGATTAAAAATGTATCTAATTTTAATTAAAAAACATGAGAGATTTATTTTCCATTAAAATTAAAATTAATAATTTTTATCAAAAGTATCACATGATATATTTTTTTAATATCTTTTAACAGATTCAATTTTTTTAAAATAAAATTAATAAAATGTATATAATTTAATAAATATTATTAAATAAAAAAATATAAAACATCGAGGGAGGGAGATGACATATTTAAAAGAATTTCTAGTTCTAGGTAATAGGGAGGGGAATTCAAATTCTATGTTTTTCTTTCTCAAATTAACTTCACAAGGATATGGTGCAATTATTTTTCAATTATTTCGAGACAGATCATTTTAATATAATTAAAATTTTAGATAAAATACAGAAATAATCTCCGATTATAGGATACTACTTTGTTGAGTCTCATAATATTAAAAGATATAGAATGGTTATCCGATTATAGGAAGTTGCTTTGTTGAGTCCCTCGATTATTAGAAGTTATAAAATGGTCGCCCGACTATTAATTGTGTTCCAAACTCGTCCTTTTCCGTTAAAAAATTAACAATCGTTCGTGTTGGACGTTAACATCCTGAGTGAGATATGTTAGTTGTTTGAGATTATGAGATCATATTTTATCATATTTGAGTTAGTATACTAACGTCCAACACAGACTGAAGTTAATTTTTTAATGGAAAATGACGAGTTTGAAATATAATAAATAGTCATGTAGCTATTTTGTAACTTTTAATAGTCGAGAGATTCAACAAAACATCTCCCTAAAATCATAATATCATTTTATAACTTTTAATAATCAGACTCAACAAAGTAATATTTTATAGTTAGAGGATCATTTGTATAATTTATCCTATAATTTTAAATTCTTACTTTTAAGAACTATACAACACAAAACCAAGATTTATTTGATATTTTAAGGGTAAACTACATGGATGACCACTAAGCTATTACCAAATTTTACTTTGATCATCGATGTTTTAATTTAATCAATCATACCATCCAATTATTTAGGTTCTTCAATTAAGCCACCTATCGTTAACATTTAATGGTGTAGGTGTCATGACAGTTAAACTATTTTGGTATAATTACACAATTGATCCGTATTACTTATATATATTTTCAATTTGGTCATAATATTAATAAATTAAAAAAATTACTCTTTGAATTTGGTTGTGCCATGTGTCATTAGTGACAAGTGTCATGACATTGTCATCATTCGATTGGAGGACTAAATTTATTTTAATTTATTTTTAATTAAGATTTATTTTCCTCTAATCAGAGGGTGACACGTGTCACCCTGGAGCATCTCGTCTCGTATTCATGGTACTAGAGCTAAATGAAAAGAATTGAAAGCCCTTAATCCACATATCCGAAATCCCAATGTTATATTTCCCAATAAAACTATCAAGTTAAAATGAGTTGCACATACAATTAAATCTTCTCGAAATCAACCGAGGTCTCCCTGTGGTGATTTCCTTGTATTTATATGGAATGTGTTATTTATGCAAATTCAAGTTGAAAGCAAAGGTATAATTACATTTTTCGTTAGGGTCTATAAATGTATATGTTTTTGGTGATCAAGAGTGCTTGGCGTAATTTATGCCTCAATACAAATGTCTTCTGTAGTACAAGTACACTTGATATTTGGCTCTGCCATTTCTCCCTTTCAGAGCTCGTAATTCGATAGTGAATGAATGTGAGGTCCGATGAGAATTCAATTGATCTGTTTGATAATAGATTACCCATGTCACATTTTATTCAATTAAGAGTCTAAAACTCATGTTTATAACTATATATATATAACTAAGATTTTATAGTTCGATGTAGTCGTTATCGTGTGCAACAAAACTACTTAGCATTAAAAGATCTTCTATATCTTCAGAGCCTGAAATGAAGGAAAAGCTTAAAGCTAAGCCCCCTGTCTCCTGATTGATATGTGTGTGGTCCTATAACGCCATTTTCATGTATGGAATCAAAGGTTATTGGGGCTTCAACGAATTGAACTAAGCCCATCAATTTTCTCCAATGGGACATTTCACACAACCCAAAACCTAAATGGAAAAGCACTAAAGTAGGATCGGACACCAATCAATTCATCAGCAAGAGTATAAAAATGGAAACATCAGCTTAACCCAAACATTAACACCATACGCCTAACTCTCTCTCCCTCCATCCACTCTTCTTCACTCCTTGTATTACATAAACCCACCGATTTCACATCGCACGGCAATGCCGGTGCCATTATAGCGATTCGAGAGACATCAATCACTCAAAACCAAATTGCTTTTGTTTCCTCTTCTGCCTTATCCTAGAAAAAAAGAGAGCAAACTACATACAGCTACTCGCCTCCGATGCGATTGAAAGGTGATCTTGGTCTCTTTTCTTTTTATGTTTTCTTTTAAATTTTAATGTCTTTTATTATTGTTTATAATTGCCTTATAGTGGGTTAGTGCAGAGATTCTCTGATCGCTTTAATTCTAACGTCCAAGTAAAGAGCTCATCACCCAGACCGAGTCTCGTTACTCGAGTTCCCTCAAACTTCCAAAAAGAAAAATAACGCAACCCAACGACTGATCCTCAAATTTCTCAGTAAACTAAACTTTGTTTCTCTGTACGGTAAACCCGAATTCTTGTACTTTTTTAATTAGTAATGTCTATTTTATTTTACTCTGAATTCTGAGTAATGTAAATGTTGTTTTTGAATGTTTCCTCTTTTATTTCTTCCGCAGAAGTATTCTCGTTTTCCAGAGGATTTTCGTAAACGACAATGCTAACGTGCATAGCTCGTTCCAAGCAAACTGGCGATGACTCACTGACTCAACCAGAGGAAACCGACTCGTCAATTAATCCTAACAGTAAGCAAAACCAAGCCATGAAGTCTCTCACATCTCAGGTAAATTCACTCTCAGTTTTACCGTGTCGAAGTTTTTGAGTTCTTTGCTCTTTGTTTTTAGGTTTAACAAGAGCCGTTTTCATTTTTGGTGTTTTAGTTGAAGGACATGGCGCTGAAGGCGTCGGGGGCCTACAAGCACTGCAGCCCCTGCACAGTGCAGACTCGGTTCAAGAACCCACAGGGCGGTGGCTCTGACGCGGACTCGGATCGTTCCAAGTGGTCGAACCGTATGACGGGGAGTTCAAGGACGTGGGGGAAGGAGATGGAAGCGAGGTTCAAAGGGATATCGAGTTCGAGCGGAGAAGCCACTCCGAACTCGTGGAGTGGCCGCCGTGCCGAACCGATCGTGTTCGTCGAAGAAAATGAGCCTAAAGAGTGGGTAGCTCAGGTGGAGCCCGGAGTACTTATCACCTTCGTCTCGCTCCCTCGTGGCGGCAACGATCTCAAGCGTATACGCTTCAGGTGCGCCTTCGCTTTTCCTCTGAATTTCAGTTCTTCGCGGTTCTGATTTGTTCTCAAGCGTTAGATTCTTAATCTTACGGTTGCATTTAAATTAATATTTGTTTTATCATTGTTTGGAAAATTGATTGGAAACTCATGAGGAAGTTGAAACAATTTTTATTTTTTTTATTTTTGGGATAATATATTGTTTTTAAAAATTAAATAAATAAAAGTTTACCAAAGTAAAAAAAAAAAAGTTAACGAAATGGAATTTCTTTTGTAAAAGCAGAGATTTTAACTTTAAATTTTCTGCATCTTTAAGATAAAATACATCGCGTATTTAAATTACATTTAAATAATTGTTTTAATTATTAAAATTTTAAAAATTATAAAATTTTATTGAATTGTTTAAAATAATTTTTAAATTTTCATAATAATTATTTTATAATTTTTAAAATGTAATAACTAAAACAATTATTTAAATTTAATTTAATAAATTTCAATATACTTTGAATATTTTTCTATTAGCTTGGCATTCAAACATTGGGTAGCAACCTATTCAAGAATTTTAAGTCGAGTGAGGGTGGTCTACAAGTAGGGCTTCACTCACGCCTAATGAAAAGCTATCATCCGATAAAAGTCTTAAAGGTAGAGCTTAAATTGAGCCTTAATTATCACATCAAATGGGTGGATTATGGGACAGGACAGGGCTGGTGGTGGTGGGATTGGCAAGCTTTTTTACTGACCCTTGTCGTCTTGTCGGGGAAGCCTCTCTTCCTTTTCTTTTCTTTCCCATTGAAACCAAAAGAATCCCGGTTCAGACATACACCCATCTCTTGTCATATTTGCCTACCATTAGCTAGGGAACGCCCACATCATTTGCCACTCCGAAACCTACATGCAGGACAAAATGTTTGACCCTTCACTAATCACTAAGCTTATCTTTTATCTAACAAACAAACAACACCTAGACTACAACCTTCTTCTTTTCATGTTTTCCCTGGAAAATGACAAACACGGTGGGATAGAACAGATTGAACTATAAATTTTAAATATGTTGGACCATTTTTCTTTAAAGATAATATTTTTGTATCAATTCTTGTACTAATTTTATTTCAGTTGGTTTCTTAATCACTACAACTTTCATGTTTGTATGATCATAAATAGTTTAATGGTTGATCAAATTCCTCATTGGTTTTAGACTCCTGATGCTTTTGCTTTTTAGAAGATTAGTGTTCTCACCACTTTAAACACAATGATTATACCTAGAAAATTTTAATATTCCCTTACCTAAGGTTTGTTGGCTAGCTTTCTTTATGATTCAAAGCAGGGGAAATGTTTAGTCAAAAGTTGTTTATTGGGCAAATCTAGTGGCCCTATATTATAATTAATTTTCCCATTGACATAGAAAAGCATAATAATGCAGTGATACTGGTCATTGTTCTGGGGAAAAAAGGTAATAGTATGTATATAATGTTATTTTATTTTTTAAGAAGACCTAGATTTAACTAAATTAACGTACACGAGAAGATAAAATTGTTCAACGACCTTAATACATATTTGCTATTACCGTCTTTCTTGTATATGCAAATACGATGAACATCATGAGAGCTGAAATATAGTTTATTTTATTTGACCAGTCGAGAAATGTTTAACAAATGGCATGCTCAAAGATGGTGGTCTGAGAACTATGACAGGATCAAGGAACTTTACAATGTCCAGAGGTTAAACCGCAATGCATTTGCGTTACCAACACCTCCGATATCCGAAGATGAGGCAAGTTCTTAGGCTGTTGCCTTCTTAAGATAGTGCGAATTGAATCAAAGTTTATCTATTTTTGTTCAATGTTCATAACAACATTCTTTTGATTCCTTCCAGAGCTCGAAAATGGAATCGGCAGAAGCAAGCCCTGTAACACCGCCATTGAGTAGAGAACGATTACCTCGTAACTTATATCGTCCAACAGGGATGAGCGTGAGCTACTCGTCCTCAGATTCACTTGACCAACATCCAATGCAGGCTCGGAATTATTGCGACTCTGGTGTTGCCTCAACTCCGAAAGCTTCAAGTATTAGTGGTGCCAAGACGGAGATATCATCTATGGATGCCTCTATCAGGAGCAGCTCATCAAGAGAGGCCGATCGCTCCGGGGAGCTGTCCATCAGCAATGCCAGTGATCTTGAGACTGAATGGGTTGAGCAAGATGAGCCAGGGGTTTACATTACTATCAAAGCCTTGCCAGGGGGCAAAAGGGAGCTTAGGCGAGTTCGATTCAGGTATGGTTGGCAATATCTTTTGTCATTAAACTATTACCTTACTATCATTTCTAGCTGGCCTCATAGCTTTGATGTCTCTTCCAAACGATGATTTTTTTTATCTGATGGCTTTTCTTGCATATTACGGACTATGGTAGGGTTGAATGTGATGTAACTTGCATTCTCCTCAATGACCAACAGGCTTTCTGGATTTATTCACTCTGCTTTAGATAGTGTTACCATAAAATTATCTGGCAGTAAATACTAGATATGCTATCTATCAAGGCCAATCCTAGTAGGAAAAGTCATTAGAAAAGGCAGTTTGTTAGAGGTTAAAACAGTTGAACATTGAGGACTCATTAGAAATGCTCCAAAAAGCCATCTTTTTTCCTGGATTTGATTCCTTTGTTAAGTTGATGGGGTCCAGCACAGGTCAATTGTATGATTAAGTTCCACTTTAGAAAAACAATTATGATATGATATGAATTACTGATAGTCGGAAATAGATTTCTTAGCTGGAAATCTTTGTTTTTTTGACAGCATCATTACTGGTTCACTTATTCTGCTTTCACTAATAATTTTACTGCCATCCCATGCGGATCCAAATCTACCTTGTACCTTTTTTTTACCATGGCCTTTTTTTTTAACTGAGGAAATGTAATTTGTTTTCTTTTCAATCACTTTATATGGTTGCATGATGCAGCCGAGAAAGGTTTGGAGAGATGCATGCTAGACTGTGGTGGGAAGAGAACCGAGCCAGGATCCATGAACAATACTTATAAAGGAGGTTATTGAGGTCTTATTATGGCTATTAAAAATTGTGGGGGTGAGTATTTTTCACATTTCTGATGCCATAGTAGAATCCCTTCTACAGTGATGTAAGCCAGGTGTTTTTGCCTACTGGTACCTGCGTTCTTATTTGAGCAACTAAGTTTTCCCAGCTTCATAGAAGCTTAATTATAAATGTCATGGTGGTTTAGGGTTGAGCATAAAGACCAACTGTTTATCTGGGTGGTGGTAAAAAAATCAATATCAATGAAACAATGTGTTTTCTCGTTTCTTCTTTATAGTAAATTACTAATTGAATAATATCAAGCTATTCTTCGAGAATCAAAAGACCAACACAAACCGCTGGAATGTATATTACTAGTTAATAACAAAAAAAAAAACCTTTTTAAAGTGAATAAACATTTTTTCTCATCAGTCCAATACCGTACACACAACAAGCTAATCACTGGGTGGCCAACCTTAAACTCTACATTCTGTCCCCAAATTTCAAAGTCAAGGAGCCATGGACCAATAGAAGATAATCTTATCCATCAATTCCAGCTTTAGAAGCCGCCACGTAGGATAGAGATAATGCTGGCATGGCAAGGCAAGGCCACCCCATATCTCAAACCATTCCCCTCCCTCCATTTTCCTTCATACCAGAAACTCACAGCAGAGAAGGTTTTTAGACTCACAGAGAGCATTGAAGAAATAAACCAATGGCTTCCACTTCAGCTGTTTCAATGGCTCTGCCTTTAGCTCGTGCTACTCCATACAAGGGCCTTGGCTCCGAATCCTTCTTTAAGCCGTTGTCACTCAAGCCATCGGGGGCAGTGGCAAACGCAGCAAGATCGAATGGAAGGCTTCAAGTGAAGGTTGCAGCTTCACTCAAGGAGAAGGCAGTCAGCGGTTTGACAGCAGCTGCAATCACGACGTCCATGGTGATCCCTGAGGTTGCTCAAGCTGCTGAAGGAGTTACCCCTTCTCTCAAGAACTTCTTGCTTAGCATCGCTGCTGGCGGTGTTGTGCTTGTTGCCATTATTGGAGCTGTTGTTGGTGTGTCCAACTTCGACCCTGTGAAGCGGACCTGAACCATTTTACTATAAAATGCTTATATCATGCATCGATTGTTTTTTTTTATAAACCTCTTTATGTATCGGATTAATGTTTTCTAGTAATGAACTCTGCATTTGGCTGAGACCCTGTGATTTTTCAAATTTTGCATGTTGTTAAGACAACCAATACACATCCTCGAGCACAAAACCTTTCGAAGGAAAAGTGCAATCAACTCCCATACCTTTTTCCAAGCAGAGGGGAATTGATAGAACTGCAAGCATAAGTTTGCGTTCGGCATGTGGCTAAACAAGGCATATTAGATTTGTTGAACTGAACAGATATCATAAGCTCGAGTTTTCTGAGCTTTAAACCGAAACAGTTATCATGCACAAAGCAATAGCTTTTATGTATACGATAACGCCAAAGCAATAGCTGCTAAAGTCATTACTTGGAATTGGAATCCGATTTGTCTTTCAACGAGCAAAGTCTTCGTGAATCATATCAATGTATTTGCTTTCTGCATATTATCCCCTTTGTCAACATTATCTACGTTGATTTTTCAATACTAACAGATGAGAGCGAAAGAGTTTTCTCACTTTTTTCCATTTATATTTTCAACATAACTTTGTCGATCATAAACCCAAGATATATTTCCCAATGAAGTTCGCCCTTAAAGAACATGTACAAGATATAGTTATTACTGCTAACATACTGGCAAACTTAAAAACGATATTGTAAATTTCAAGAAAAAAAATACTTGAACAAAAACTAATAACCTTAGTATAACATAATAAGAAAGTACAGAAAACCACAACCTGAACATGTCTTTGGGGACAAATTTCAGCTAAAAAACACTAAGAAACTAGCATAGTCCAAAACTCAAACAGGTGACAATTAGAAGGGTAATCCTCAGAGATTTAAGCCATCACTGGAACCTCAATATCAGTTGGCTCAGGCTCTTCTTTCCTGATAAAAACTTCATCCTCCTTGGGCGGGTGGATTGTGACAAGATCAGGCAATGGAGTTGTAGGACCCTGCTTACCCTTGGGATCCCAGTCAAGCATGATCTTGACCTTTATACCAAGCACCCCCTGTATTAAGAAACCATTGGTAAATTGATCGAAAATGAAGATCGAAAAAGTCACAGAAGGGTAAAGACTAAACAAATCAATTGCAAACCTGTCTCAAAAGAACATGTCTGACAGCAGAGTCAATATATTCGTTGACTGGATGGCCGGAAGAGATCATGTATCCATCCTTGAATTTCATAGATTTGGCTCGCTGAGCTCTTAGCTTTCCACTAACAATAACCTATTGCAAAATCAAACAAATATTATAAATTCTTAAAAGAATTCAAATAAAGAAAAAAGGAAATCTATAAACCTCGCATCCCTTGGCACCACTCTCCATGACAAATCTCAGCACACCATAGCAGGCCCTGAACAAACCATCCCAGATATCAGCTTAAATGCAAAACAAAGAATTATACCAATTTGTGCTCATGAATTCAAAACAAACATGGAAATCAATAAATTACACCAAAATCAAAAAGATGAAATTATGAACAATTATACACCCTCCAAAATGTTACTGTGTGAAAACAAGTGAATTTCTAAAAGAAGATGTTGCGTTGGACTAGTCTTGTCAACTTCCTAAACAAGACCAGTATAGAATTAACCTACTTTGATTTATAGATGACCAAGTATTCAGTCAAAAAGTGTCAACAAACAATGGAAACATTCAATTCGAATATACAAGCAGTAACAATTCAAATGCATCAATTTTGAATAACAATTGATTACATATCGCAATTATAAAGTAAGAATTAAAATGTTTTTGACATTGTTCCTTCCCCTTAAGTTTACTGCAAGAAGACCAAATGTATTTCAGCAGGATAAAGGAAAAGAAGAAATATATTGTATAATTACTTTTGTCACCTCCCGACATAAAAATAGATGACGTTACTTGCACTCCCTAATTAAAACAACTACAGCTTGAACGAACAATAGCAACACACTTCAAATCTGTATGACGCATCTATTTTGAGAATGTACCTGCGGACGGCAAGGCCTCCGAGTAGCTTGTAGCGAAGGGACTCGGCCTGAGCAATAGCACAAAGGCCTCTGTTGTTGACCTTCTCAGCGTAAAGCTCGACACTGTTTTCTGGGAACTTGAATCGCTTCTGAACCACTGAGGTAAGCTCCCTAATCCTCCTACCTTTCTCACCTATAACCCTCAATTACCAAAGTTTAAAACCCTGTACCGAAAAATTAATTAAACCCAATAGAGGAAGCATGGTTTTTATATAAAAATACCGAGAACGTTTTGGGTGCGGGTGGCTCTGATTATGATCTCGGTGCGCATAGGAGTAACTCTTACTTCAACTCCAGAATACCCATCCTCAGCCAATTCTCTGGTCAAAACCTCATTGAGTTCCGCGAAAAAGACTCCATCAGCAACGAACTGAGAGCAGTAGCAAAAAACGAAAACTACTTAAAGAAATGATGAAAAAACGGAATAGTAAATGAAACAAAAGTAGTATAGGCGACGATACCTTTCGCTTTTTGCTGATTTGAGCAGCCGCCATGATTTTTTAGGCTTGAGTGGAGTGGAAAGAAGGAGATAAGAAAATCTGAAGAAGACGGCAGAAGTTATACAAATCCTAGCGAAATGCATAGATTGATTCCTGGCTAGGGTTTTTAGTGGCTTCTTGAGTTTTGGACTCCGTAAATTGGGCTTTGAATGAATACTTATTTAATCAAAGTTAGTAATGATCGGTGTTTCGTGGTGACCACTGATCAAAGCCTGGAAAAAAGCCCTACATCTTTCACACCGCAATGTTGGAAGAGGGCCTAATTTGGACATGCTCCTTTAGCTTAGACCCATTCAGCCTGATATTTGTTGTCTACTACACACTGGAGTTAAATCAGATAAAGCTGCTAAGATAGTTCATAACACATTTTCTGGTTGCCAAATGCTTTCTAACCATGGATGTGCTGCAAATGGGAGGATTCAAGGACGGACAATTAAATTTATGTTAGAGTATACAGACTTAAGAAGTTATATTAGATATATAGGAGTGTAAAATTATAAAATTTCAAGGGGTATAAAATTATAAAATTTCAAGGGGTATAAAATTAGATAATCAATAGAAAATATAAAAAAATACTTAAAATATAAGGGAATTTAAATTTTCCAACCCCACACCCATGTAGGTCCATCCCTGGGAAGATATGGCTGCTTAGTGGGAGTTCGGTTGACTTGGTCATGCTTGATACAAGTGATCAAGTGTTTCTTGCAGGATAGATTTGAGAACAAGGATTTTATTTTGATGTCTACAGTGAGGGTGTTGGCTCATTTTGTGGATGCAAAAAGGAATATGCGTTGGATTCTTTGTGGCCACTTCCATGTTACAATTTTTAACCGGGAAAGTTCAACTTTTGATGGTGCTCAAAACCAATTGTAGGCACCCGTTTTTGTCCGGGTTTTACTTACGTTTATTATTATTATTATTATTGTTATTATTATTATTAGTATTAGTATTATTATATTAACAATTAATTTACATTGCAGGCTCAGATTATATACAAGCCCAAATACAAAGACTCTATAGAATCCCCAAGCCCACTACAAAGGATTACCCAAGACTCGACTCGCACCTGCCCAAAATTAGCAACCCTAAACACATTAGGATTTCTTCTATCCAGCCGTAGTCGCCGTCGACCAGAAGATGGATCGTCCATCACAATGCGTGTGGTATACGCACCCAACGTTTTGACTCCCAATCGGAGCGTGAATCCCACCATTCATCTCCACGCGCTCATGTGCTGCCACCGATCAGTCCCACCGCTGCCGTCGTCAGCAATCCATACCAAACAGTGACAACCATCCATCAACCAAGTCAAAAATCAACAAAATCAGGAAAAAACCAATAAAAATGAAAAGAAATCTAAATGATATCCCGGGGAAATCTTAATATGTCACAAAACTATCTCGGTAGTAGCACAATTTTGCATAAAAAGTCATCACATGCATCACCATAAAAAAGGAGGAGAACCAGAGGGGAGAGGAGTCGGAAAAAAAGAGAGATGAGAGAGATCATTCGGAAAAAATAGAAGAAAAACGCAGAAAAAGAAAGAAATGTCACAAAATCCGACCGTTGGTGGCTTCATCGGAGCAACAGTATTTCGGTATCAGAGGTAAAAATCTTACATTTGGGTAGTTTAGGGTCGATTTTCGGGTGAGGGGAGTTGGCTTCGGGTTTTGGTTGTTTCGAAGGGTAGGTGAAGGAAGAAGGGGGTGTTAGGAAGCTTTGTTGCTTCCCATGACCCCCGATCTACGGTGGTCGGGGAGCCCTTGGTGCTCCATTCTTCTCGGCGGCGAGAATAGAGAAAAAATAGGCTGAAAAATGGGGGGACAAAAATTATTTTTTGGGTACTTAACCCTATAAAGATGATTTTATATCATCTTCAATACGACATCGTTTGGAAAAGGGAGGGACCGCGTGTTTTGAGGAAAAAGGATAATCACACTTTAGGACCTCTTCATTTGTATTTTATCATTTTAGTCATTAATGAAGCTTTGAGTTATCTTGTTTTAAGCCTCTACTTTTCCAACGTTTACAATTAAGTCACCATCATATTTATTATGCAATGTTTGCTAATATTCAAATATGACCCTATGTTTTCTGATTCTTTTGTTTTAGTCACTATTTAATGTGAATATATTTAGGGTTAATTATTTATTTATCCTTTTATGTTTATGGTTTATTTTATTTCAATCCTTAATATTATTCATGGGTTATTTTCATTTCTGGTACTTGTATTGTCTAATATATTCGATCTTGGCTCTGGTTTGTTTGTAATTATTGTTCGATCCTTTAAGTTTCTGCTATTCCTATTCTGGTCCTTGGAATTTCCAAATACTTATTTTTTGTCAGTTGTATTTTGGATTGTGTTATTCATTTGTTTTTATTTTAGTCCTTTAGGTATGTACATATTTTGCATATTATGAATCTACATGTATTATTCTAAATAAATGTCACTTGTCTTATGTGTTGTAAATATTTTATTCTACATTTACAAATTGTATTTGTTTCCATCTTATTTCTTTATTTAGTGATATGGTATTCGAATAGTTTTCAAGAACAACAATTCGTAGAATGGGCGTGGAAAGCGTCACTTGATCGAAGTGGTGCAATCTGATACTACGTTCAAACAAGATGTGAACTTGAAAGTGCAAATCCTTTTTATGAATTTATAAAAATCATTATATTTTTATGTCATTTTATTTGTTCGATTTTCATTATTATTTTATTTTATATTCATAGTGTAATGTTTTAATTTTATTTCTATTAATCATGTATGTTTTGGAAAAGTAAATCATGATGTATTTTATGCAAATTTTTTATATCAATTTTTTTAATAATTCGAAGATATAATATTCTTTTAAGAATGAGAAATAGTTGATATAGCTTTCCCGACGGAGGATTGTAATTTTCGAGATTTCTTATCAAATTAAATATTTTTCTTTAAATAATTAATTCAAAGTAAATTAATTAAACTTTAATAAAGGGATCATATTTTAACTTTACATTCGATTCATAATTTCCACCATTACGACAACATATAAGCGACTAAGTACCAATTTTGGGCGCTGTGGGGGTGTTAATCCTTCCCCACGTGTAATCGACTCTTAGACCCGTTAAATCGGATTTTTGGTAAACGCATGCCAATTTTTGTCTTAAAAACGATTTTTCCTTAAAATTATTTTAAAAGACGTTTTTAGGTATTAGACCTACCTAACCCAAAGGTCGATGATGACTCCAATTCAATTTAATCCAAATTTAAAATCGTCAAATTTTCGAAATATAGTCATAATTGTTTTCAAAAAAAATGGTTATGACACCAATCTTCTGTTATGACGGAGTTTCTGAATTGCATTGATGATCTGCAGCTTGTTGTTCATGTTCATTCTGGTCCTAAATTCATCTTGGTCAATCAACAGGCAGGCAAGCATTTAAAGAGGAAATTAGATCATTAATGGAATACTCCTTTTCCTCGTGCTGCAGTGAAATTACAGGCTCCAGGCCCCTCTGACCATTGTCCAGCATTGATATGGTTTGAGAAAAATCTTGTACTCACCTCCCGGAGTAGGTTAAATGTGCAACAACATCTGTAGTCATTAAACGAGTTGTTATCTTAAACTTTTTCAGTCGGATCAAATGAAATTTAGATTACAGAATTCTAATAGAAAGGAACAAACGGAAGTTTAGGGCTGTGCAAAAAATTGAAGATGATATACTTGGTAGCGTTAAGGAAGCGGTTAGTATCAGATTGTCTCATGTTTGGTACTTATACTAACAGATCAGATAGAGTTAATTCCCATTTATGTGAAACTATATATATATATATTATATATATATATATATATATATAATATTATTTTGTTTTTGAATAATCTGGGATAAGCGGTTAGTATCAGATTGTCTCATGTTGGTACTTATACTACAGATCAGATAGAGTTAATTCCCATTATGTGAAACTATATATATATATATATATATATATATATATATATATTATTTTGTTTTTGAATAATCTGGGATATCTGTTTAGAACTTTCTTAATCAATTGATAACGCGCATATACTCAAACGCAACTGCTCAAACTAAGAACCTTTAGAGAGAATAACATTTTTTTTACACCTGATGTCACTTGATAGTTCTAAATAATAAAATAATTACATGAATTATATCATGTATTACTTTATATATGTAAACGAACTCTATTAAGTTACAAATGATCCAACTAATGATAATGATGTGGATAACCCCATTGAATACCCTTTTGTTTAATGTAGGATAAAAGAGTGGGAGGCTTTGGACTGGACTTTGTTTTCTTCCTTTTCCAACCTAATTGCTGGAAATGTAGGGAAGGAAGGGAAAAAGTAGATTCCCATTCTCACATGTTGTGTGTTTGTCTTTGGCTTTCAGGCTTTAGTTTCCTAGATTACAGCTACTCACCATAATTATTTAACCTTAAACAACTTCAAATCCTTATTATGTATTTTACATCATTTGGTAACACTGCTCTTCTTTATCCAGCGGAATCCAAAGGGAATTCTTGGAGTTGTTCTGTGGGCCGCCAACCGTAGGATTTGGTACTAACGACGTGATCCAGATTTATTTTTAATTATAGTTGTTGCAATTAATTAAAATTAAACAGACATTAAATCTTTAGATTATGCTAATAATTTCAGAAACGTGTGTCCAACGTCATGTGTGATGCGTATCAGAATAAAAACATTAGAGCATTTCTTTATTCTTTTAAGACATCAAATCCTTTGTATTCGATTCAAACTATACTTATTGGTGTTTCTTTTGAATTAACTTTATTCATATAAAACAATTCTTTTTTTTCTATTTTAAGTTTAAATCGTAAATAAATTTGATAATTTGGATATTTATGATTCGTTTGTTTTATTTTTTATAATTATAATACATATATATATATATATATATATATAATATCATTTCGTTATTATATTTATATTTTATATTTTTAATATCCATTGGGGCTTTAAAAAGTTCACTGTTAATATCTTTTAGGAATTATAATTTTAATCCGATACAACCCTTCTTGTATTTGTAAGTTTTTTTTTTACTTTTATGTGGGAG